TATATATATATATTGTCATGTAATTGTACTTTCATTTTTCCCAAAGTAGAGCAATTTTTAATTGTAAATGTATTTGTAACTAAATGTTATACATTTATATGTAAGAAAAACATAAAACAAAAAAAATAGCTACAAAATAAATGTATTTTTCCTTTAATCAAGTGTTTTCATAATATTTACATAAGGTAAGGATCCCAACCATTTTAGTTATATGGTTAGTGCCTTAACATAAAAGCCGTTAAGTTAACATGAAAGTTAATTCAATTTGCTGTGGAGCTCACAGTGTTCTGCTAATTAACAGTAATGTTGGTATTCAACAGGTGCACTCACTGGATCACTGCTTGCATTTAGTATTTTGTCGTTTTTGATCGTTCGTGGACATCGGTCACACTAAGCACCAGTACATCAACAAAAAGTTAATACTCGTCAACGGTTTCGAACGGTACTACTCGCGTAGTCCTCTCTGCTAACGAATTTCGCAAAGATTGAGAAAGAAAATTCACGTTCTTTTTTTTTTGGTTGTTGCAGTTACTTTAATGAATTAAGCCAATGTAAATGAATATGAAATGTTTATACTAATATTATTGCGCGTGCGTGTGTGTGATTTATTTAATAATATTTTAAATCAAAAACAAAATTGCTTAAAAATGATTAATATAAATGCAAAAAGAGGAGTAAAGTGTGTGAAATTTGAGCAATAATTTATAGCGCCAAAATGGCAAGCACAAGAGCGCGCCGCAACAACAACAACAACAACAACTAGCTCGCAACACTGTTGTTGCCCGCCGCTTGCAACGGTTAAATCTGAATCGATTTCAATCGTTGCCCAATGATCGTTCAATTAATATGCCTTCAATTTAGTTGATTGCCTTTAACGAACGCTCCGGGATGATGATAACATTTACGATGCTGTTTACGTTTATGATTATGTTGATGAGGCATGTTGCATGTTGCACGTTGCAAGCTTCCTGGCCACAAATGTCTATGCCGGCTAACAAGAAAATTGTCAATAAATTACGTAATGTCTCGATTCGAACCCTTTTTGCGTGCTGTTGTTGCAGTTGTTGTTGCTGCTAGTGACCCTGAACTGCTGCATGTGCGTGTGTGAGTGAGTGAGAAGGAGCATTGAAGCTTTGAAGCGCAGTTTCAATAATCAGCTGAGCTTGTGAACTTCGTGATCCTCCAAGCATAAGTACCTGCATATACACTGCTCAAAATTAGTGCTAAGCCAAGTTATAAGTTTGCAAGAAAATAGTATTTTAAATACAAATTATTTGGTTAAAATATAACTGTTTTTGACGTTCAGTGTATTCATTTTAAGTTGTATATTTTTATATGTAGCCGAATGCAGTGTATCATAGCCGTCAGTTGGTTGCCTGTACTTGTTGTACATATTCATATACGTGTGTATGTGTGTGTGTTAATGTACATGTATTTTCTTTTTTTTTTTTTTTTTGTATATGCATTTACTTGCTTTGCTCGCTGTGTTTGCGTTTTGGCGCGCTTGAAAAGCGTGAAAGTCATTGTCCACACAGACACCCCTTGATTGACCCGCCGCCCCGTGCGCCCGCCTCCGCCTCACACTCGAGCAGCACTCCAGTGGCTAACAACCGGTGCCGCTGCTGCGCTGCGCTGACACCTTGGCTTGTTGGTAGGCCAACCAGCCAACCAGCCGGATAGCCAGCCAGCCAGTCAGCCGGCCATCCAGTCAGCCGGCCGGCCGGGCCACTTGTCTGCCAGCAAGCACAGCAAACAAATGGAATGGTGTGCAAAACTCCTCGATCAAGATGCTATACAGCACTCACACACACACACACACACACACAGTTGCTGCACACAAGCGCAAAAAAAAAAACAGAAATCAGAGTTCTGTTTCTGTGAAGTAGCTTCTGCTGCTGTTGCTGCGCGTCTGCACGTCTGCGCGTCTGTCCGATTGAACAACGTGTCCCACTACCAACCCCCCCGACTCCCGCCCGCCTCCTTCTGCTCTCTATCTGCATCTCTTTCTAGCTGTGGCACCCGCTGCGTCTGTCGCTGTGTTTTGGCCAGCCTGCTTGTCTCTCCGCGTGCTGCACTGAACTGGACGCTGGCAGCGATGCTGACGTCGACGGCGACGCAGACGTTGACAGCGGTACTTGAGCCCACTTGAAGACAGTCTTTGCTGTTGCTAGCTGTGTGCATGTGTCTGTATGTGTATGTGTGTGTTAACCTCTATCTTCTTCGCACTGGTTGATCATTGGGCACATGGCCAAGATCATTCAAAATGTACATTAAGACTATATATGTACATATATACATATGTACGTATATAAGTACATAAATACAGGAATCGTCTGGAACATTATGGATCTTAGCTTAACGGTTGAAGTCGAGTCTGCTGCTTAAAGCTCATGAACTAGGCTTTCCCCAGCTTCGTCAACTTTGAACTTGAACTTGAAGTTGAACTTGAAGTTGAACTTGAGGTTGAACTCAAAGATGAACTTGAGGTTGAAGTTTAGCACCTTTGAACTTTGTCCTCTCTTCTTCTCAGCTTATCAATTACGACTATTATGTGGGCAATTCTTTGGCATATTTTTTACTTTATTCTTTATTACTTTTATCTTTTACTTTTTCATATGATATACTATATTGTTTATCGGTCTACTTATAATTTAAGCTGTTATCCTTTTATACCAGCATGCTGCTTTACAAGCATACATTTATATTCGTGTACTAATATACAGTTATACAGTTAATCTAGTGACCTATACTGTTATACTTCTATAAACTTATACTGTTGTATTATATAGTTATACAGATATGCTGCTATTATATTGTTGCTAACCGATAAACAGTTCAATTACTACCAATTTGTTTTTCTCTTTTACATTTCGACTGTTATACTGTTATACTGTTGTACTTCTATGCGTTTATATCTGCATCCTTTTATAATATACAGTTTGAATGTTATATCAGCCTTCAGTTATACTGTTATACAGTTCAGCTGCTACACAGCTATTATACTGTTATACTGTTATACTATATATGGATTAATCATTATACTTGTATACAGATCTGCTGCTATATAGCTATATAGTGTTCTGCTGTTATACTATTCAACTGTTATACTGTTATATTCTGATGCTATACAAAAATATATGCAGTTAATTACACAAATGTTTTATTAAAAATTCATACTCCATAACTGGAGTTAAGCAGATCATTGCATGGTCGTATATACCCGATCTGTGGATTTTCTGTCTGGTTGCCTGTTTCGCTGCCTATTGGCGAGTATTTGCTGAAGGTGTTTTTTCTCTCCTCTTCTGCTGCTGCTTCTTCTTCTTCTTCTTTATCTTCTTCAAGTGTTGTTGCTGTGTTTCATTAAGCAAACACGACTGCAAGTGTTGGTCACTTCTGTTGCTGTTGCTTCTTCTTTCGTGTTGTTGTTAGCATCGTTTTAATCGGTAGCCAAGTGAATTGAGCCTTGCCACGCCTCGCCTCGCCTCACGACGCGTCGTCTCACCTCGCTTGGCCTCGAGCTGCGCCAGCCTTTTGGCCATTGTTCTCGCTTGCTTCATATTCAGTTAACGTCTGTCGACTCCTTTTGGCAACAATTTCTGCTGCTTCTTCTTACCCAACGTTAAGTGTGCGTGTGTGTGTGTGATTTCTTGTTTTTGTTGTCATCTATATTGTGTATAGATTGTTTATGATCGCCTCTGTTTGTGCCCCTCTTAACAAACTGCTCGAGTTCGAGTGCCCGGTTAGTCGCCCTTTTTTTTACCCTAAAGAGACATATATGTATATCAGCATGTGTGTATGTGTGTGAGTGTGTGTTTGTTTATGTGTGCGTGCGATTTCCACAGCTCTTCCGTTTGCCGCTGACCAGGTCCAAAAACCCAAGCTGAACTTGTCTTGACATCCCGTCCCGCCGTCTCGCCGTCCCTCAGCCTCTCCGTCTCCTCGTCTCAGCTTCTTGTTCTCACTGACTGACTGACTTTTTTTTTTTTTATTTTCACATTTCATTGTCGCCTCTGTGCTGCTGTTGTTGTTGTTGCTTCTTTATTTTCTTGGTAATAAGGTGTGAGAAAGGCAATAATCGTAAAGAGCAAACAAATTGTTGCTGCTGCTGCCGTTGCTGCTGCTGCTGCTGCTGCTGCTGCTGCTGCTGCTGCTGTCTTCGGTTTCACGCTAAAATGTTAATCGCTCCTTTTCTGTTGCCCGTTGTCTCTGCTGTCAAAGCAATTATGTATAGATCGGGCCATACATATGCCCAAATATATGGGCATTTATTTGAAGTAAATTTATGTCTTCATATCATCGGGCTGCCTGCCTGGAGCGTGTTCCTCAACCCATTCGCTGGCATTCAGCGATTTTGGGATATGATTATGATTGTAATTATGATTATGGCAGTGAGTGTTTTGGGTTTGTGGAACAATTGAATGAATAGCGGTTCAATTGAATGCACTTTAAGGCTTGCCTGGCTTTGTTGTGCGTCTTGAAAAAACAGAATTTCTAGATATAGAGTATCGAAATGTGATTATCAATTCATCAGATCTGCCTACATATACATACATATGTATGCATTAGAGATCAATTTATATCACATTTATGGTATATTCGATATATCCATATCACATCTACCTACATATATCAAATCTATATATGATCTTATGTGTTTCAGAGCAATTTATGTATATTGAATCGTATTATATATTCGATTTACATCTATATGAGACCTACCTATAACAAATTGTAGCTGTATTTGACCTCATATATCTTATCTTAGGCACATACAATCCGTATAAGTTTAGGCTTGTCTATATCAGATCTATTTATATATATTTTCTTAGTCATATTCGAACTTTTTACCCATATCTTGATTTACCCATATGTGATCCGCCTATATCAAATCTGTCAGATTAAGGAGTATCACATCTACCTAAATTGGATGTTAGATACATATCTATATTCACTTAGAAGATGTGACCTTACCTTGTGAATGAGTCTCACTAAACTCTGAAAGATAGAAGCAAATAGTAAATAATATTAGCGATATTTATGTATGTATATTAATGAGACTTGTTAAGATCTATAGCTGTCTTAAGGAATTCCTCACCAAGTAGAATATATTTGATATAGCATAACGAATATCAACTACAATTACTCTAGATATCAACTTTAAGTTGACTATTTTTTTTTGGGCATTTTTCAACACGGCCTATGTAGACTTTACCTTGAACAGCTGGCTAAATGTTTTGGAACTTCAATTTGTTTACATTCTAAATTTAGTTGTGATCAGATTGGGTACGTCCAGTGTATCGCAGCTCTAAACGACAATACGATCGCCGGCATGTGACTTGGCCATGCTTTGGGTCTGTGGGGTCACGTTTTATGTTTGTGCACTTGTAGCTAACGGCTAATCAGCAATCGCATCATATGTGTGTAGCGCTTATCATTGGGACATTAAATTCCTACAGATAGAATTATATAGAAAAAGTCGAGGCAAATGATGCCAGCTATTTTTATAACTAAATCAAGTCTGGCATATTGCGTTGTTTTTCTTTTTTGTTATTGTCTTTCAAATTTCAATTTGTATTTATTATAATTTGTTAAGAGTCGCAGCACTTCCGCCACAAGCAATCAAAATCCATCTAGAGCTTCCCAGGAAAATCGTGGGTGCAAAACGCATTCCGAGCTAATTAACTCAGTCGGTGCAGAGATCAGATCCAGAGACGAGGCAGCCAAATCGAGTTTAATTGAAGCATAAATGAAACTTTATTTTTATTTTCTTTTGTTTTTTTGCAATGTTGCAAACCGTTTTGCAACACAAAACCTAACCTCAAAGTCCCATAATCAATTAAAATTGATCAGGTTTTTATGCCAAGTGCCTGACTGATGGGATTACTTAACTTGGCTTTGCCCTTTCACATAAACAGCATAAGCTCAATGCATTGGCATTTCAATGCTCGTGCATTTATGGTATAACCAGATGTCATTATCTTCAAGTAATTCCCCATAATCGCCATGTTTGATCTTATTAAGACACCTTAACATGTTTTCTCGGCCCTCCGTTTCGTTCACACAGACAACACACAGATCTTTGTATGTATATATGTATGTGTGTGTATGTATGGCCAGGCAAGTGTTCCTGTCTGGCTCTCCGACTCTCTGTCTGCCTCTGTCTTCATTTTTATTTCTTTTTATTTTTTTTTTTTGTTTCTCTTAATTTTTTTTAATTTCTGCGTTGTCTGTCGCCTGGGTTCAGCCCCTCGTTAGCCCCGGGACCAACTTTTTACACAGCACGCCAAGTGCTAACAACTTTGTACCTGCTCTCTGCCTTCGATTCTTTGACTCTGCGACTCGTGGACCCACAGTCTCTGAGAGTCACAGCCTCGCCAGCCTCTCAGCCACTTGGTAGCTCGTATCAGCAGCTCATTGGTCTCAGCTGCAGTTTTCATTAACGCTCGAGCGTTTGCATTGTGTGGCATACCCCTTTTTTTTGGCATTGATTGGGTATGCTGAAGACCGAATCCTGAGGCGCAGCTCTTATAATGTTTATGGTTTTCACTAATATTTATTCTATTTTTGAGTAGAGTTTCATTCTGCTCTCCATGAACCTTACATTTGAAATATTTCTAATCTTTGGCTATATCGAAGCTAAGCTTTCTTTAATTCTAATATTAATTCGAATCTCTTATAATTAAAGAAAGAAAGAAAAACTTACATTTATAGATAAGAAATATATAAATATTGATATATAAACCCATTCTGTTTTATATTTCATATCATATATTTTATCTATAATCATTATTACACAAACATCTCCATTGAATTTTTGTGTCTAATAAGAAAAGTTCTTTGTTGTAACGGTAAAAATACTTATCGAGGGCCAAAATCAATAATTGAAGTCAACTGTTTAGAGCTTAGACAATGATCATACTTTATATCTGATATACATATGTACATACATGTATGCATATATAGAGAGAGAGAGATATATATACATATGTACATGTGTGTGTTTCCATCTATATTTAGTTATTGGATTCTTTGCTATTCCAATTGGAGGATAGGCCAATGAGACGCAATTGGCATATGTGTGTGAAGTTATATGAAACTGATCGATGCGCATGCTAACTATAATGATAAATCAATAAGTGTGCAAAATACAAGCACACACACACAGACACACACACACACAGACACACACACACACACACACACACACCCATGGATATCAGGTCTTAAAGCGCGACTATTTGATGAATACTTAACACAATATTTGCGAATGCGGCACTTCGTTGCCTGCACTGGGGCCTGGGGCGGGGGTAAATGGAAAGTAAACAAATGGAAATGGAAATGGAAATGCAAATAATCAAATATCATTGATTGCATGCTAATGAAATTGATTTGCATGAGAATAGTCAGCAGCATTGCCTTTGGATTTTCCTATTAATAATTTCAAAAATTTGTATATTTTCCCTTTGCTTTTCGTTGCATTATTAGAAATATGCCAGAGCAGGGATTCAGTTGGTTGGTCAAGTGCGTCTATCTGGTGTTCATTGTGCAGACACTGCTGTGCATTGGCCAGCTGGAGTGTCGGCAGCATCACAATCGCAACAACAGGCGAGGTGATTCAGCTAGCTCGGAGGAGAATCACAGCAATGGAGATGTCGATGGCTTTGATAACTTAGCGGACAGTGACAGCAGCATCGCCGCTGGCCATGGCCATCGGCGTGGTCCGCGCAAGAAACATCAGGGCAATCACAATCGCCACAATCGGCTGGAGGAGCAAGGCATCTCGCTGTGGATCAACGAACAGCAGCTCAAGATGTTAAGCGGTGAGTTCGATCAATTTGCAGCACTGTTAACAGTTCGGTTCGGTTCCAAGAGTCGGTTAGAGCTGGTTCGATAGGCAATTAGCATATGTTTGAAAATGAACCTAACTAGTTCTGGAACAACATAGTTCAGACACCTTGCACTTTGAGCCTGTTCACTGAGCTTGCATTTAATGTTAGTTAACAGCAGCTAACTTAACCGATTCGCAACTTGACCGGTTATGGGCTTAGAGCGCGAACCGCTTTGGGTTTGAATTGCGAGTATATCTGAACCGTTGCACCGCTCGACTGACAATCCTTGCAGCTCTCTACTTTCCACAGGGCTACTCAGATCGCCTCTATGCCATACACAATGGTCGGGTGACGAACGAAATGCGCGACACGACAGTCTATAGCTATCTGGTGATACCATCGGAGGTGAACTATGTGAACTTCACCTGGAAATCGGGCAGACGCAAGTATTTCTACGATTTCGATCGACTACAAACAATGGACGCCAGCATACTGAAGGCACCGACGCTGTCGATCAGCAAACGGGGTCGCATACCACAGGAGCAGAAAAGTAAGTGCAATCAGAGTCAATCCATTATGGCAGCTGGCGCACCAATGTGGCCCATTTGATATCTATCTAAGCTAGATTTTAGCATATTCCTGCCCTGTACCGGAAACAGCTCGGGCACGGCATCATTCAATGTGGGCCTGAAGATACAGACTCGCAAGAATGCCTCCCTATCGGGCACACCCATACGTCTTAACTTTAAAAAGGAATGCGCACATAGAGGTGTGTATGATATAGACGCTTCCAACCCTACTTCACTAACAACTTTGCAAGGTAGTGTATATGAAAAGTCAATTTAATGCTTTATATCAACTTTACAAACTACACGTAGAAATCGCTTAAGAACCAAAACTGTGTAAAAATATTTCATTTCCTGTATAAATTGACTGAAATTGAATTGAATATACATACATTTAAAGTATATATATATACATATATAAAGCTAAAGTCTTAAGCGATTTCTACTGTAATCACATTTGATCACTCTGTTGCTAATGCCTTTCGGATTGATGTACATATGTAAACCCATTGCTTACGCCCACAATTGAGCTGAGCACAGCTTCCAATGCACTCTATATTCCTTATATCTGCTTCTGCCCTGCCCTCCACTCCATATCAAATGCGAGAAATGATTTGGTGTGCGTGGGGCTTCTGCTTGGCTCTGATGCATTCTTTGTTCCTTCCCTTTCTTTCTCTCTCTCTCTCTATCTGTTTTTCCTTGTCACACATTATGTTCTCTGCTGTGCACATATTCGTATATTCATATTCATCATTCGAACAACTTTTGCCAAGCTTAATTGCAATCCAATCCACTTCAATGCTTATGTACACACTTATCAAACACGCACACACACACACTCGAACCGAATCGAAACCAATCTGAACTAAACTAAAAACAACTTAAGTTCCTGATCCAGAATGCAGTTTGAAGTGCGGCAAGAACGGCTATTGTAACGAGCATCACATCTGCAAGTGCAACGTCGGCTATATGGGCCAATATTGTGAGACGGCCTTTTGTTTTCCACAGTGCATGCACGGCGGCAATTGCACGGCTCCGTCGGTATGCACCTGTCCGGAGGGCTATCAGGGCACACAGTGCGAGGGCGGTAAGTACTTTAACAAATTGTATCTTTAATGCTTAAGCTTCTATAACTAAACAAACACACGCACGCTACATTTCAATCCTAGATCTTAGATCTTTTTCGATATGGCTATGGCCGTCTTGCATCCAAATTTAATGACCTCGGTAATGGCCTTGTAGAAGGGCGCCTGTTCGGCGCCGCAATCGATGCCCGTGTCGTGGTGCTCCTGTTCCTCGTCACGGAACTTTGTGATTGTCGCCAGCAATTCCTAGACAAAGAATTTGTATTAGTATGGAATTATTAGCTTCCCTTTGCCTTGCGCCTCACTTACCTTGTCCGGATTGGGTGATTCCATGATCTGACGCAGCTGATCATTGTAGTGCTCCACAATGACGGTCTCGACGGCCACAGTGCACGCCATGGCCGCCTTTTCGCCCAGCAGCGCTGTGCCGGCGCCCAGCGCAAATGCGGCCACATTCCAAATGGGCGCCATTATGGTGGGACGCACACGATGCTGCTGGATCAGCTGCTCGAACTGTTTGCGATGGCCCTTCTCCTGCTCCCACATATGCCCAATGGTCTTGCCCATGGGCCCGTTACCCAATATGGCCATCTGGCCGGCATAGATGCGATCGGCGCCCAGTTCGCCCGCATGATCCACACGGATTATCTCATCCGTCAGGGCGTTGGCGCGTGGACGCAATAGCGGTGGTGGCGTCTGTTGCTGCTGTTGCGTGGTGTTCGCCTGGCCACGTCTCGCCGGTGGCATGGCCCTGCGAATCAATTGTAGACCCGTCTTGCGATACATCTTCTGAAGCCTGCAAGCAATAACAATAGATTAATTATCATCACATTGCAGGTATTTGTAAGGAGAAGTGCTTGAATGGCGGCAAATGCATACAAAAGGACAAATGCCAATGCTCCAAGGGATACTACGGCCTGCACTGTGAATACTGTAAGTACAATTAACTAACGTTAGCTAGATATACATAGGTAAAATATATCCCAAATCCCTTCAGCCAAGTGTGTAATACCCTGTAAAAACGGGGGTCGCTGCATTGGCAACAATCTATGCCGCTGTCCGAATGGCTTGCGCGGCGATCACTGCGAAATTGGCCGGAAACAGCGCTCCACCTGCAAGTGCAGCAAGGGCAGCTGCCGGGGCAACAAGGACTGCAAGTGTCACAATGGATATCACTGTCGACGACGTAAGTGGCCACCACGAGAGACGCATGCCTGTACGCTCGTCCAACTTCATTCCATTTGCATTTTCAGGCTTTCCGAATCGTGCGCATTGAGCGTGGAGCTGGGCCCCAAACGGCATAAACATGTGACATGTAACATAACCACATAGCAATAGAAAGCGATAATTGGGCTCTACAGCATCAACATCAACAATGACAACCACAACAATTATACTATTTAAAATGTAATGGACAAAATAAAATAATACTAATTGTGATACAAATTTTTTTGTAATTTAAAACTTTTAAATAAAAAAGAATAAGCAAAAATCTAAGTAGCAAATGGCCTTAATGGATTTTTTGATTATAGGCGTATACTGTTGTTATGGCGTATTTAATTATGTATATTATCTTCGGTCTCTCCATTTGGCTGAGCACGTACACCGAAAGCAAACACACAACTTATTGTTAACTGTTCGTTGTGAAGTGGCAATTGTTGTGTGTGTATGTGTGTGTGTGTATTGTGGCCATAAATACAAGTCGTTCAATGACAATATGCACATGTGTTTTTATGTCGCAGCGACTTACTTGTACCAGGTAAAAGTGTGCAGTCTAAATTTTATGCAACAGTCACCAGAATGTGTGTGTGTTTGCTATATATTGTTATTATAGCCGGCTGACTGTCAGTCAGTGCTGTAAAACGTATGTTGAACTGCTTCACTAGCAACAAAATTGCCTTTTTTCGAAAAATTCATCGATACTTTGATCGAAATAAAAGTCATCGCTAGGCATGGGCGTAGCTATAGCTTGGCAGAGGGCTGTAAATATTTATATTAACTTTTATTATGTTTCGGAATGTTAATGAAAATTCAATATTTGAACAAAAATAGTTCTCTTCTTTGTTATAAATTGTGAGCAAATGAGACAAAATGGATCCCTTTTGGTCGTAGCTATGCATACGCCCATGTTTGCCTTTTTAATCAAGCAAAAGTCAGTCAGCTGACGTCTTGTTTCAACAGCAATAACAAAGATGCCTCCCAGAAACAATCACGATCCGTCGTCCCCCGGCGATTCGGACAATACCAATGCTCCGGAGGCCGATCTCCAGGGTAATATACTTATACATAGATCAAATATGCATATAAATTGAGGCAGTTAACATGTGGTATTGCGTCTTGCAGAGATGGAAGACGTGAATCAGAGCCTTGACGCTCTAAGTTGTGCCTTGGACGCTGTGGAGCAACGTACCGAAGACATTTTATCGCAGCTACGCGAGCTCCTTGACTCGAATCGCGAAATACGTCGTCAATTGGCGCAGGAAAAGGACAGTGCTTCTGATGAGCAGAGCGAGGATGATGACATGGGCGGACAACCGGGTGACGAAACTCCACCCAGCTCACATATCAATTAAACCCACCATTTTGTTTCTTTGCTGGTGATAGCAGTTTGTTTCCACAAAACATTTATTGGTTATAAAAAATATATATGATAACATAACATAATTGTTAATCGAAAACTTATAAATTTATTTTTTTCGAGGTTTTTTGTTTTTCTTTGGCGCTTTGCCACTTTCTACAGGGGTCACAATTTGATCTTTAATATTAACGTTCTTTAGGCGCTTAGCGTCCAGCTTGAGTCGCGCATTTTCAGCGCGAAGCTCCGCGAGCTCCGCTTGTAGAGCACTGACAGCACGTTCTGGCGTTTCCCCACGAACATTAGATGACTCCTCTTCTGGCTCGCTCATCGCAACGTCCTCGTAGTCATCTGGAAGGCTGACGGAGTTTCCAGCGCTGCCATCGTAGCTGTTGTCATAGTTTGGCTCGATGAACTTTGGTGCCTTTGGATACTCCTCTGTGATGAGCAGCTCGATGCAATCATCGTCATCATCGGGACTAATCATACGCTTCAGATTGTCGGCAAATGATTTTTGTTCCTTGGGCCCTGGATGAAATCGGGATGTGCTTATGAGACGCAAATACAAATTCGTAATGGCGCCTGGCTGTGAAATGCTCTTCACTAGTTGCCGACTGATGACATCCCAGATGCACACCTTTTTGTCCTCGCCACCAGAGATCAGCTGTTGCGCATTCACAGCCAGAGCCAAACAGGTGATGGCTGTGCCGGCGGTGTGGCCAACAAATGCCTGGCTCTCCTCCTCCTCCAGATGGTATTCCTGTGAATGACAGCCAAGAAAACAATAGAAAACTCAAATGAAACAGTTTTTAATGTTTTGGTATTCACCTTCATGCGCGGCACTTTATCCATGTGAAAAACTAGGACCTGACCCTCACTGGTGCCCACATAGACGCTCGTCTCTAGTTTGTCAACGACCACGCTATGCAGGGAGACGGGAAAGACGACGCTCAAGAGCATTGTGCCGTCACTCAGATCGTAAATCTTGCAGCAACGGTCCATGGATACGGTGTACATAAAGGCGCGAATTCCACCAAGTGCAATGTGCACATCCGTGACCGCTAGCCCATGGTCATTAAAATTGTAGAGCGGAGCGTTCTCCTCGCTGTCGCCGCCACCCAATGGAGCTACCGCACGTGTTAGACTCCAGACAAGCACGGCACCATCCTTGCCGCCGGTGACAAAATGTTCGCCATTGTCCGTAAAGCGGATACAATTGATGGGCTGATAATGCTTGGATAACGTGTTGAGAAGTCGCCCAGAATTCAGATGCCAAACGTAGATGGTTTCCTGTATGGCAGCGACCAGATAGGCGCTGTCTGGGGTCAGGGCCAATGCATTTATCTTGCCGGGCACCACGTAACGTATACTTGTCATCTGTTCCTGCCCATTGATCGGCCACACATGCAGCAAAGGCTTTGTGCTGTTGGCTGCAATCACAAAGTGATCCTCGAGCATTTGGAGGCTGTGCGGCTGCATTGTGCCGCCGCCTTTGTAGCGCATCAGATCGGTTCCCGTGCGCAAGTCTTGTACGCAGCAGGATGCTCGCTCATTATTAAGTGTACTGATAAATAAAGCTTCGCAAATGTCCCCCATTATAAAAGACGAAGACTCCACGTGCCAACAGGTGAACGATGTAAACAAATCGTTCAAATCCAATCTATTAAATTGCGCCTAAAAATACCGAAAATATGTGGGTGCCCTAAAAATACCAAACATCGATAAGCCAACGAACAGTCGATATTTAATGAAGAAAGATAAAAAGAATACCATCACAAACGACGTTACCGTGCGTGTTATTAAAAAACTAAGGAATAGAAGCTTTTCAAATGGTTACCCAGCTAATGTCAACATCAATTACAGCAAAATGAGTGGCGGCTACTTTTTGGATTTAGTGGCCATAAGCAGTGCACTCAAAGTGCTGCTGTTTCCCGCCTAGTGAGTTAAATGGGCATTTGCCGGCCGGCAAGAGCTGATGATTTCAATTCATTTCCCTTGCAGCTATTCAACGGATTTTGAAGTGCATCGCAATTGGTTGGCCATAACGCACAGTTTGCCAATCAACCGATGGTATTTGGATGTAACAAGTGAATGGACACTGGACTATCCGCCCTTTTTCGCCTACTTCGAGTGGCTGCTCTCACAAGTGGCCAAATATGTTGATCCAAAAATGCTTATTGTACAGAACCTAAACTATGCCTCCGAAGCAACGGTATATTTCCAGCGTGGCTCAATTATTGTCATGGATCTGATCTATGCGCTAGGCGTACGCAGTTGTCTGGCCGCCCTTGGAGTCGTACAACCAACACAGAATCACATTGCTGGCTGCATGTTGCTTCTCCTGAATGTGGGACTCATTTTTGTGGATCACATTCACTTTCAATACAACGGATTCCTATTTGGCATCCTGTTCCTAAGCATAAGTGCCATGATTAAGAAACGGTATTTGTGGAGTGCATTTGCATTCGCCGTCCTGTTGAATTTCAAGCACATATTCCTTTACGTGGCGCCCGCCTTTGCTGTCTATCTGCTCAAGTTCTATTGCCTGGGCGAAGGAAAGTTTGTACAGAATACGATTAAGCTGCTCGCTGCGGGACTCACACCATTCGTACTGTCCTTTGGTCCCTTCTGGCAGCAGTTGCCGCAGCTGATGTCGCGCCTGTTTCCCTTTAAGCGCGGCCTCACACACGCCTACTGGGCGCCCAACATTTGGGCACTCTACAATGCCGCCGATAAACTGGCTGCCAGCGTCTTGAGGAGAAGTCGCGATCCCGATGTGCCCTCCACGACCTCTGGGCTGGTGCAGGAGGTGCAGCACATAGTGCTGCCCACAATCACACCGTCCATTACGTTCGCACTCACTGTACTCTTTATGCTGCCCATACTGCTGAAGCTCTTCCTCACGCCAACCAGAGAGTAAGCAATCCAACTGTTTCACTGTTGCATCATCTAACCACGACTCACAATTGCCAGGCAAGCCAAACTAGTCTTCATGCGCGCCATTGTCCTCTGCGCCTGCACCTCCTTTATGTTCGGCTGGCACGTCCACGAAAAGGCCATACTCATGTGCCTGCTGCCCATGTGGTGAGTAGTGGAAGTCTCTGAGTTGGGCAAGACTCTCAATTAAATCGGTGTCCAATCTACAGCCTACTTGCCGTGCTGGATCATCGAGATGCCAAATTTGCGTACATCTTGGCCATCACAGGCTACTTTTCTCTGTTCCCGCTGCTCTTCGATGTGGATTTGCTGGTGCCGCGCTACTCGCTCTACATGGCCTACGTGGCCATGATGTATGGCCAACTGGAGCGTGTGTATAAGAGCAAGCCGAGCATCCATGTGCTTGAGTGGATCTACTTCTACGGCTTCATAGCCATTCCAATCTACGAGCATATAATCAGTCGGCTGTTGGGTCTGCACTTGTCGCTTCCATTCATGCCGCTGCTGCTCACCTCCGTCTACTGTGCACTGGGCGTGATCTATTTCTATGTGCGCTTCTATCTCTACGCCATGGACTTCCAGTGGCCGCCGAGCTTTGGCAAGCGTCGCCGCTTCACACAAATCAAATCTTCAACCTCAAAGCGAAAACGAAAAGTTCAATAAAAAATGTATACAAATGTGTGTGTGTGTGTATACGAGTATGTATGCCAGGCCAAGAGCAATTGCATTCGTTTGCCGTTTTGTGTATTTCTAGGGTGTCCGGTTCAAGGCGCCTGGCGCAACAGCCGCAACTGCAACACAATGGCTGTTAGTCAGAAACTTAGGTAGAGCCCTGCGGGCGGTGCCTGATCTACCTGACACTCTTGTGCAGGTAAACACAAATTGAAGTGCGTGGGCGACGGTCGGCGAGTGGGTGACATTCCTGGAAAGCCCAGGGAAAGCACCACATACAATTGAATGAATCGAACTGGAAGAGATATTGAGTCAGTCTTCAATTGCAAGTGTAGCGAACAGGTCGTGCTAAACAAGGAAAAACCATGGAGCATCCACACAACCCATACAAAATGTTCGCACACACCAGTGACAAAACATTGCCGAATGTTAAATGAAATAATCACAATTCGAATCAATTGCAGCCCTCAAGACATTGAGGCGAGCGCCTGCTTCAGAAGAGGCACCTATATCGAGCTATCGACAGGCGTGTTGCGCCGCGTGGAGGACATACGCACCGAGGATTTCATTCAGTCGGCTCTGCGTTGTCAGCAATTCGACCTCAAGGAGGCAACGGTGGTCAAGATAGACAGGAGCTCAGCACATATGAACAAGATTACGTTTAGCTATGATATGCAGCATTTGAAGGTGTGATCATTGGACATTTATTGAATTAATTAGGATTTAATTTGTGCTCTGTTTTAGGTCACCATGGAGGTGGCATCGGCCCATCCGTTATTTGTATATGGCCAGGGCTGGGCATCGTGCAACCCGCAATTGAGCTTTGATCTTTACGAGCTAAAGTGCCAGCAATTGCAAGTCGGTGACATTTGCCTTTCGTTGGTGGAGCGTGAGCAGCCACCACCGCCACCGGTGGAAGCTCTGGATCTTCAGCCTGTTCCACTATCGGAATACCAGTGGACAAATTGTCAATCTGCAGCACTGCCCCGACATCCTTATCAAGTGTATGCGGAGATGGCAAATCTTGTGGCAGCCTATACACAACATTTGATTGGCAAAATGGCAAATTGACAAATTAATTCACTTAATTCATTTTTTATATATTGATAAAATATGTACTGTAATAATGTATTTAGTATTAAATTAATAAAATCCATAAAGTATACCCGTAAAATATATTTTTAAGTCAATTTTCTTGATACTTGAGCTTTTATGAAAAGTATAAAAACGATTTTGAAGTTAAATTATTTGTAAATAGTTTTTGCATAAATATTTTAAAAAAAAATAACTGCGATCTTTGTTTACGCAGTGCTGCCAGGCAGTTCACTATCGTTTACCGAATCAATCGATAGCTGTGGGCTGAAAACCGAAACATATATCGAAATGGACACACTGTTTGTAGAGATTGACATCTCTATGAACTGAACGTGAAAGCCAAAACAACAAAAACAATTCGGTGGCGCAAATTTAATGTACATATATGATCACTATCCGCGGTGATCTTTCAATGAAAAGCGCTGTTTATCCGCTGGGCAATTGCAACAATGCCAACGAGAATGCATCGATACTGAGCGATGGTTCTGGCCACAAGGGCAACAAAAGGAGCGGGAACAAATACATTGGGAACAACAACATCACCAACAGCAACAACAACATTAACAATTACAACAACAGCAACATTAATAATGTAAATGAAAATACGCTGTGGCCTCCTGCATACGATATGCAAGCGTCGTCCGCCAACGCTAATCCAGTGCTGCGTAATATAAACAATGATATGACAAAGGACATTTCGCGCAAAGTGCTTCAATGCAAGAGTAAGTGACCCCATCCATCCATCTACCAGGTCTCGCTACTGCCTATGTCAGTACAGTATGTAGCTGCAAATGTCTGCATTTGCTTCTTATATTCACAGTGCAATTCACATCCAATGATCGATTAGACAAAATGAGCGGCGACGACATGCGCATGTCGAAGATCATGCGCCGCCTGCACAACGAATCGAGCCCGGCGGCTGCTCTCGAACTGTGCAACAAACTGGACATGGCCGTGCGGACTCCAGTTAATGTGGGTTATTTGACTCGATCTTTTGACGTTATCTTGGATGGAATGCAGTCGTTGTTCAAGCAATGCCCGGCTCCGGTGCTGAACGAGTGCAGCAAAACTCTAGGAGTGATTGGCTACATCAATCGCATGTCATATCCCATCTATGAGGACTTCATTGTGAGGAACTTTAAAATGCACAAGCGCATGCAAAAATATTTAATTCTTGCGCTGCAGACGACGCTCAGGTAAGTTACATCCCATGTCCACGTGACCCGTGATCCGTACGCCTGTCTTATTTTAGCTGCGACACAAAATGCGATATGCACATTTTTTCGGACAAGATAATGGCGCTATTGAAAGACTTTCTGGAGGGAGCTGATAGCCCCGACATCTTCATGGGCATCAGTATGTGCATTGTGCAATTTTCGCTCAATTATCGCGAGGTTTTCGAGTGCCATTTTACGGATGTGGTGGACATCATCATTGGCTGGCAGCTGGAGGTTGGCCAGCCCGAGGAAGTGAGGACGCATTGCGCTTACGTGTTGGAGCAGCTGACACCATATTTTAGCAAGCAATTGGACTTTAGCTATGGACTCCTAACCCAGTTCATCGAGGACATATCGGAAAAATCAGAGCGCCCGGGCGAGCGAATCGGCGCCTTCGTTGGAGCCTTCAATACGCTGCTGAAATGTCTCACACGTATGCGCATTACATGCGAATCGATCGTTTCCCTCGCACTCGTGCATCTCATCAAAGTGCTGCCCGCCATGCTGGAGAACCCGGAGGGCGTAGGCGACGATGCTCTAATAAATATCAATGAACTATTCTGCATTTGCTTGCTCAATGGCTATGCCAATCCGGACGCAGGGACTCTCGACAAGTTAATCCATATGCAATTCGAGCACATCACCAAATTGCCCGACTCTCAGAAATTGAGTTGCCTGTATTTGCTGTTGTGCACGGTGCGGAAGCTGCGCGCTCGCCTGCCCGCCAGCCTGGTCCAGCTGATCTTTCAGTCGGATCCCGCTGATGCTGCAAAGCAAACATATTTGACCAGCATACGACTACAGAACGACACAAAGGCCTACAAGCTGCTGTTGCGCACATGCCAGGAGACGTTGCTGATTAAGAATGTGCCCATCTTGCAGCAGGCATACAAACAGCTCGTCCAGGACGTCGACAAATGCATCTCAAAGCTGGCCCAGGCCCAGGCCCAGGCCGACTCCAGCGAAGCGGACATCTTGCTCATCTTTCATTTGGCCGCACTGGCGGCACTGGCCAAGCAGACGTCCTCAATCATTGGCATGTACGCCTGCAAGCCATCCATACTGGAGCTGTTGATAACCAATTGTCGTGCCGGCGAATTGAGTATCTGGTCAAAGCATCCGACCACCCATCATGCCATACTCTGTCTGCTCGTCGTCCACTGCCAGGCCAATCACAATTTCCGCAATAACTCCAGTCTGCTGCGCGAGAGCGACGCCGGCAAGAATCTGCATTCGAGCAGCTCCCAGTCGCCTACGGCTCACAGCTTCGGTCAGATACTCAAGTTCTTGGCACACTGCTTGGTGAATGGTGCACAGCTGGCGCCGGTCAATCTCAAGCATCTGCTCGGCTGGACGAAATCTCTGCTGGTCGAGTGTGGCTCGCGCTGCGCCGTATTGCTGGAGCATGACGATTTCATGACCATTTGCGAGAGCGTTGCCAGCACAGCTGCGAAATACGCGCCCATGGAGAGTGCTCTGTGCATCCAGGCCGTGCTCGGCTATGGCACATCGAATCTGAGCCTCGAGCTCCTCCTTTTGTATCGTGAAACGGCGCTCCAGCAGCTCCAACCGTTGGCCAGCAGCGCGCACGAGGCCTACGCCCAGATCTATGCCCAGTTGCCGCTCAGCTTGATCATCGCCAGACGTGTCCCCTCCGGCATCGGCAGCAATCACATTTGCGTCTGGCAGCAGCGCCTGAGCCAGTGCAGCGCCATACGCGAAAATGTCTTTCGGGATTTCTTCGAGCGCCTGCAGACGCCGGAGCAACAGCCGTTCGGCGAGTGCCTGCGGTCGATGTTCATGCGCAGCTGCCAGGTGACGCAGCTCGACGAGCGGCAGGAGAAGTTGTCCCAGTGCATGCGCCGCTGTCAGCGTCTGGCCACCGTCTGGCTGCAGTTCGAGGCGGCGCGCTTCTGTGTCGACCAGAAGCTGCGCACGCCGCTGGGCAAGCCGCAGGACACGTTCCTCGCCTTCGAAGCCATTGTGACGCGCTACGCCCGACTCCTGAGTGGCTGTGGCAAGGACAACGAGCGTCGAGCCTTCGACGATCTGTCACTGCAGCAGCTCTCCAACACGCGTGCCAACTTGAACCTGCTGCTGGGCTTCCTGGATGCGCTCGAGAAGCTCATCTACAATGCGGCCGAGGGCAGCGCCTTTGCACTGCGTGCGCCCGAGAAGCCAGTCAGCGCCTTCTTCCGGCTCAACAATCCGACATGCCAGTCCTGGTTCAATCGCATTCGCACCAGCGTCATCATCATTGCCATGCACTGTCATCAGCCGGAGTTGGTCATACGCTATGCCCAGGTAGGTTGCTTGCCCTTCGATGAGCCTGAATCCATTGAATTTTGAATTGGTCAAAATATTCCAATGCCCTTTATCAAAGCGTTTAGCTGCATTGATCTAGCCATGTCTGCACTTTCGTTAGCTTTATCGTAGGTCCAATAGTCTTTTCGTCAGCATGACCGCAACAATCTTGTAAACTATTAATATTAGAGATGTAAAACTTGACAGCTACGTTCTTGTATACCACGCGCAGCAGACGATTATAGTGTTCTTTCGATAGCACTTACCATTATCGATCAAACTCCTTATTATCGATAAAAATCTATCGTCCGTTGTGCATCCTTGGTCCATGTATTTAGTGTAATATTTGAATTTGAATGTATGCACTCTAGCTTAAAGCACTTTGGAATTCGTACTTACATATTTCCGTCTCTTTCCACAGCAAATCCTGCTCACCCATAAGACGCAGGACTCCATGTACAGCCAGGCGATTGTCTACTTGGCCTGGGCCTTTGTCACCTGCCGTGAATCGGACTCGCTGCGCGGCCTCTACGTGTGGGCGCGCGCGCGCAGCAGCAAGTGCTACAGGTGGCTGCAGAGTGCCGCAGATCAGGCAGCTGAGCGCACGGAACTGGCGGTGGTTGGCTACCGTTCCATTCTGGCCGATGGGGATCTGGAGACGCATGTGCGCCAGTTTGTGCAGGCGCAGCTGTTCGAGTGCCTGCACTGCACGGGTCAGTGGACGCAGATAGTGGAGCTGAAGGCGCAGTGGAAGCGCGCCGGCGACAACATCCAGGTGAATCCCTTTCTGCACAAGAGCATGACGCATCTGAGTGTGCTGGAGCAGCTGCTGGCCAAGAGCGAGGCCACATCGGACGAACTAAACGCAGCGCTGCACACGCTGAGCATCTGGCCCAGCGACAACGAGCCCCACGCCAGCTTCTCGGCCGACTGTGTGCTCGAGAAGCTGGAGAACATTGTGCTGCAGCAGTGCCACTCAGCGGACGACCTCAAGCCGTTTGAGGTGGGCCCATCCGTGCAGCAGCTGCTGGACATGAACTGGCGCGAATGCCTGCTCAACTACAGCTGCGAGCAGCAGCACTGGCAGCAGCTGACGCTGCTGAAGCACATCACCCAGACGCTGAGCAGCAGCCAGGAGCCGCTGATGCTGCTGCCCCTGGACAGCAAGGGCCGGGAGGAGCGGCAGCAGCAGCAGCTCCAGCAACAGCATCACCATCATCAGCACCATATTGGCAGCCTGGGCAGCTCCCTATTCCTGCGCTGCGTGGCCTGGACGCAGCTGCTGCGCAATCACTGCAACGTGAACAGCCTGGGCAGTCTCTATCTGGAGACGGCGGCGGTGGCGCGTGAGGAGGGCAACCAGTCCACCTGCCAGGCCATGCTGGAGCTGTTCTTCGGCCAGCCACTCAAAGACGTTGCGGGCTACCTGCTGACCAATTCGCCGGACACCAACAATTTGCAGCTGCTGCGTGGCTACACCGAGGTGGCCAAGTGCCTCTACCTCCAACAGCAGCAGCAACAGCAGCAGCAGTGCAGCGAGCTGAGCGCCATCAATGTCTGCACATCGCTTTGCCTGGCCATACAGAAGCAGCTGCCGCAGCCGGAGCTGGCTTCCGATGTGGGAGCCGAGCTGTTGCTGACGCTCGCGGATTGGATAGCCGCGCGCAGCTGCAACGGGCTGGCCACCAACATGTCCACCCAAATGCAGCAGCTGCTGGAGCAGCTGCCCGAGTGCCCCTTGGCGCGCAGCTCGACACAGCCGACGACGCTGCCGCATGGCGAGCGATTGGTGGCGCGCCTGATCAATGCCAGCCTGCAGCAGCGGCCGAACAACGAGGAGGCGCTCATAGCGTATGGCAACTGGTGCTATCGCTGGGGCAAGAAGACCGTCGACAGCGGCACCGTGCTCAGCCAGGCGGACATCACAGCCATTGGCGAGGCGCTGGGCGGCGATCAGCCTCTCGATGGCGACACGCTGCAGGAGCTGCTGGAGGCACTGCGCACGGAGCCACAGCCGGGCAACAATTGCGAGCAGGACGAACTGCAAACGGATGCCCAGTGCGAGCTGCGACTGCGCCAGCTCAGCGCGCTGGCCGACAAGCCAGCCAGCGTGCTGGAGTCGATTGTGCGCATTTGGCGTCGCGCCATGGCTAATACCTTTGACTACTACAAGGCGGCGGCAGGTTGCTATTTCCATTATCTCAGCCTGAAGGCGGGCTCCGGCGAGGGGTGTGCGTTGCCGCCGCAGCAGCCGCGTTTCCATGTGGACGACAGCAATATGGTGACGACAACGCTGCGTCTGCTGCGCCTGATTGTGAAGCATGCCAGCGGACTGCAGGATGTGCTGGAGCAGGGGCTGAAGACGACGCCGATTGGGCCGTGGAAGGTCATCATACCGCAGCTCTTCAGCCGGCTCAATCATCATGAGCCGTATGTGAGGAAGAGTGTGTGTGCGCTGCTCTGCCGCCTGGCCGAGAGTCGGCCGCAGCTGGTCACCTTTCCGGCGGTGGTGGGCGCCAATCGTGAGCTACAAGCCACGCCCATTGGCAGCGGCAGCAACAGCAGCAGCAGCAGCCCGGCACAGAGCTATGCGATATTGTTGAATGCTTTGACCAAGCAGTCGCCCGAGGTCGTGCAGCATGTCCAGCTGCTGGTCAAGGAGCTGCGACGCGTCTGCCTGCTCTGGGATGAGTACTGGATACACTCGCTGGCGCAAATCTACAACAGCTATGTGGGTCGGGTCAACGGACTGGCCAGCGAATTCAAGCCCGACGACCATGAGGGCAAGCAGAATCGCTTCGATAGCTGGCGCCCGCAGCTGCTCAGCGACATGGAGGCGCTGATGGCGTTCACCACGCGCGAGGCGGAGACCAACTACGAGCGCAGCTTCAAGCGGCGCTTCGATGCGCCCATTGCGAGCACGCTGGAGGCGCTGCGTAATCGCCCGTACCCGGAGGCGTGGGACAAGCTGAAGCAGCTCTACCACGTGCTGCAGTCCAATATGCTGCGCGGCACGAGCAGCACTCTGAAAATGCAGACGATCAGTCCGGTGCTGTGCGAGATTGGACGCATGCGCATCTCGATGCCGGGCCTGGACGCGCAAGACGAACAGCAGCCGGTGCACATTGAGAGCGTGGAGAGCACCGTCTGCATTCTGCCCACCAAGACGAAGCCCAAGAAGGTCGCCTTCTATGGCAGCAATGGGCAGAAGTACACGTTCCTCTTCAAGGGCCTGGAGGATCTGCATCTGGACGAGCGCATCATGCAATTTCTGTCCATATCGAACGCCATCATGGCTACCAAAAATGATACGCCGCACAGCTGCTACCGCGCCCACCACTACTCGGTCATACCGCTGGGCCCCCAGTCGGGTCTGATCAGCTGGGTGGACGGGGTCACTCCGCTGTTCGCCCTGTACAAGAAGTGGCAGCAGCGCCAGCCTCAGCCGGCCACAGGCGCCACATCGCGCCGCCTCACCGATCTCTACTACAACAAGCTGTCGCCATTGCTGGCCAAGCACAACATGCTGGTCACGGATCCGCGTCGCCAGTGGCCCCTGTCGGTGCTGCGCCAGGTGCTTAACGAGCTGCAGCAGGAGACGCCGGCGGATCTGCTCACCCGTGAGCTCTGGTGCCATGCGGGCAGCGCCGCCGAGTGGCGCCAGTCAGTGCGCCGCTACACGAACTGCATGGCCGTCATGTCCGTCATTGGCTATGTGATTGGCCTGGGCGATCGCCACTTGGACAATGTGCTCATCAACCTGAGCAGCGGCGACATCGTCCACATCGACTACAATGTCTGCTTCGAGAAGGGACGCACCCTGCGCATACCCGAGCGTGTGCCCTTCCGGCTGACGCAGAATATGGTGCACGCCCTGGGCATTACCGGCATCGAGGTGAGTTCATGAGTTCCATTTTGGCTTCCTTAGTTCTTTATCATGCTCGATCAGCTAAAGATCTACTTTATTTTATTTAAATCCAAGTTGTTGCGTTTGCTAGCCCGAAAGACTCATTTATGTACATATATCTCATATGTCTAAGATTCTTATATGCATCATATGTTTCTAAGCGTATCTTAACTCCTTAATGACCTTAGCCCCTTAAAGCTCCATAAGGAGCTTAGCTCCTTGGGGTCTTAGCGCCCCAAGATCGTTAGCTCTCTAAAGGGCCTTAGTTCTTTAAAGACCTGAGCTCCCTAAGGGCTAAGAACCTTGGCTCTCTAACAGCTTTAGCTCTTTAGCGCTTTTCAGCTTTTTGATCTTTCCCAAAATATGCTTTACTTCTTTTTTCAGCTGAACTTTTTTACTAGATATTTCAAATAACTTTTCAGCACAGGCTGTTATAAGGGGTATGTAATAAAATACCCTAAAATACCCTGCTGCCCATAAAATCGGACTAAAATCTGGTGTCGCCCTCGTTGTAAATAATCGTGCTACTCATTTCCAATTAATACGATGAGTCGACTTCTAATTCAAATAATTGTTTATGTTCTCCCATTGCCGTTTGCTTTCTCAAGTTTTCCTGGCGTGACTAGACGACGCCCTGAATTGGGCTTTCAAATTACTAAGCTCAAGCATACTAGTAGAAATTCTCGGAATGCCCATTTGAGTCTCTTTTTTAGATACATATACACAATGCTCAAGTGTTCAGCTCTTTTTCAGAAGCCAGCTGAAATAGAGAGTTAGTAAAAAGACAGTTTTATGTATAGATTCCTCATCGATTCAAAGATTGTGATGTGATTTCTGTGTGACTTCAGGCTAGATTCCATTAATCTTTATGTCCGTGATTTCTGCGTGACTAAGGTTAGATTCCATTAGTCCCTATGCCCCATTAGACCCATTACACTAAACGATCTACAAATGTCTTTCGAGTTCTCCCTTTCGGTTCTGCTCATTATGATCCCCCGAACGATCTATCATCCCTCGCGCTAGTTCCCCTCGCATTAAAGGTAGTCCTTCTTTAGATTTACATTAGATATATTTTGTATTTATTGCGCGTCCTGGCACTGAGTTGAGAGTTTTTCTACATTACATTCCTTGGCGGCCGTATAGCCGTTGCTGCTGTTGCTATCGATGCGTTGCTTGGCACTGTCCGAGGGCAAATTGAGCTCCAGGTCGGCATCGATGCGACAGCAGCGGCTGGACTTGCAGCAGAGCGTTTGGGCGAACGCACGCCGAAAGCCGGCATTCTTCCATGAGTAGATGATGGGATTGAGCGCCGAGTTGGCCATCGCCAGCGAGAAGGCTGTCTTGTAGATCATCGAGTTGCTGCGGCACACGCGGAACAGCTGGGCGATCGCCACACAGAAGTAGGGCAGCCAGCAGAGCGTGAAGCAGCCCATGATGAAGACCACAATCTGGACGCTCTTCCAGTCCGGGTGCAGCATGCTGTGGCTGCTGTGCGTGTTGTAGACGACAGATTGGCGCACTCGCTGCGCCTGCTTGGAGGCCTCGCGCATGATGCGCCAGTAGAAGACCAGCATGCATATCCAGATGATGGCGAATCCGGGCGTTATAATCCCAGCCACATACCATGGCAGCAGCACCTCGTCAAACTCGCAGCCCTGCGCCGCGGACCACTTGTTCCAGAATATGGGTATCAGCGCTACCAGAGCGCCCACACACCAGTTCAATGTGATGATCATGTAGGCGACGCGACGCGTCATATAGCTGCCATAAATGGGCAAAGATTTCGATTAGATGGGCTCTTAAGAGGGGACAAGATACAAAACACAAATAACTGAAGCATCGGAAGTGGAAATAAGTATCGAATAAGTCAGCTATCATCACTAGAGTAGTTTTACGAGTGCTATATGCTCATTTATGGACTGTAGACGTTGGCCTCAAGTGAAAATAACCCAAAACACGTCATAAAGATAAGATTCGGATATTGGAGATTATAAATGCAATCGACGAAGAAATAAACTGCCTAGTGTAATAAGTCATGGTTGACAAGGCGATAGCAGCTGACATTTACCCAGCTGGGTCAGATAATATATTCGCAATGATGCGTACCGATATGAGAACCCGCTGAACTGGGATTCATCTTGAGCTTTAGATATAGTAAAGTAGAATCCGGCTATAACGAATAACTTATATGGTCGATGGTTCTTTGAACCTCATTATAATCGTATTCTACTGTATATGACATCGAAATATCAGCTATATGGTTGTTAAGGGCTGGTTACTTATACAAGGTATAAACTAAACTTGGTCTTTCCATGACAAGTTGGATGCCTTTAGCAATAGATATAGCTTCAGCCTAGCTGAAATTTTTACTTTATATCGATATTTATCGAAGATTTAGCTTTTGAAGATTTCGATTTAGCAGCTAATAGTCTATATATAAGGATATACCTAATCTAATTAGAATATCAGACGGAACGTATATAGAAATAAGTCAGATTGAAGGGGCAGCTGAGTAAGTCGGAAGACAAAAGTAGATCCGTAAGAATTTACGGTTTAAGCCTGTGGCTTGATATCGATTTTTATCGATTTGACGATGGAGCTCTAGCAGTTAATAATCAATATATATATATATGAATATAAGAAGACTAAAATCCAATTAGTTGATAAATCACAACGTATACAGAAGCAGGTCGAAAGATTCAAGCAAATCCGACAGGGGACAACTGAGCTAGACTCAATCCCATTCAAAATCCAAATGGTTATATACAATAGTTCAACTGAAGACTCACCGTCTGTAGTGCAGAGCGTACATGACCGCTATATAACGATCCACGGCAATGGAGATGAGCGTCAGTATGGAGACGCAGCAGGCGCAGATGAAGAGGAAGAAGCGAAACAAGCAGAAGCCGCGCAGCTTGCCCAGCTCGAGGCTGCTGCCCATGTAGAAGACGACGTGATAGGGCAGGGCGACGCCGACAATGAAGTCGGAGATGGCCAGCGATAGGATGAACAGATTCGATATGACCGAGCGCAGATTGCGGCAGGTGCGCACGGCGACAATGGTGAGCGCATTGCCCACCAGTATGAAGACGAGGATGATTGCATTGATGACCAGCCAGAGCAGTAGGCCGGCGCCGATCCGGGAGGGCGCTCCAACGGTGGCGGCCACAGTTGTCATATCCATGTCCATGAGGGCATCCTCTAGCCCGTTTGACGCATTTGTTGTTGTTGTTGTTGTGGAGAAAGTGCTGCTGCTGCTGATGGTGTTGCTGATGCTATTATTGCTTTTATCACTGGGGTTTAACCAAACGTACTCCTGACTGTCCATGACACCCACTCGACCCACTCGACCCACACGACCCACACGACGATTCGGGAATCTCCCGCACTCAATACACAATTAACGTGAGCAGCTGTCTAAAAATCAGATCAGCCAATGTGAAGCGCGGCCACGAAACGCACCGAACGCCAGTTTTGAACAATCTGCCAGCCGGCCACTCCACATGGGGCAAGGACTTTGGTGTTTAGCCAGGGCAATACGTGGGCGTCGTTTGTTTACGTTTCGGTTCGCTATTATCCACAGCGCCAACTGATAACGGCAACCTGATCCAGCGTGAGAAACGCAATCCGCTCGCGCAGCTCTCAACACACATTTCCCGCTACCCTACACCAGAACAATGTCGATTTGCCACTGCCAATCGAGTAGGGTATGCAGCTCAGTCGACTCGATTGGCCCCACACTGCGATTGTGTGCAACTGTGTGGGGGAGGGGCTACATGATTGTTGGCTATCTGATGTGGCTGACACATTTCTATCGATATCGATATGGAGGCACTCGCATGGGCCTAACGTATTTTTAGCACTTCACAAATTAACCCTAGGTGAGCCGCAGAGCTTACATCTATTAATGCATCAAGTGGTAATTGATAAGTGGATTATTTATTTATCCACATCGCGCTTGGCCCCCTCGAGGCCAAGGCGCATGTTAAAGTTCATGTTAGCGGGCAGTCAGAATGAATCGAAATATATATATATATATGAAATATATTTATGCTCATGGTATTACTTGAGCAACATACGTATATGTTATATATATTTATATATTTACCAGCTGGTTTAGTAGCTTGTAAATTGACAGAGAAACGAACAAGCTGAGAGCAAACAATGTAAACAAATTTGATAAAACCCCATTGAAATACTAGCGATTTAGCAGCTGCATAAATTGCCTAGTAAATAAACATTTGCACGCGTTAATGCTATGGGAGAATTGCTTTTGGCCAACGCGTCGTATGGGTAATAATCAGATAAACTATTTATGATGCGCAATCAAATGCGGAGCCCTCGAGCAAGCCACAAATTACGCACAATTTCAAAGTTAAAATCATTGAGCAATGGCTCTATCAGTTGTAGAATTTATATTTCTAGTATATAGTTGTGCAGGCAGCTATGCATATATGGTATATATCGTGTATCAGTCGATATAAAAATGTTCTCTAGTTTTACGATGCCTGCAATTTGTTTGCTTTGCTTAGAGATATGCATGGCGATAAACGCGATTCGTGGGACTTTATTTACGAGTCTATCTGTGAATCGTATCGATTTATGATCATGATACCATATTTGATAATCCATGTCTTTTGTTTTTACCGTTTTTTTGTTTTGTTTTTTTTTTTTAGGGCGCCTACCGTCTGGGCTGCGAGTATGTACTGAAGGTGATGCGCAAGGAGCGCGAAACCCTGCTCACCCTGCTCGAGGCATTCGTCTATGATCCGCTAGTCGACTGGACAATCAACGAAGATGCGTCGACTCTGCGACGCTCCATCAATGCGAAACCGCTGGCCTGTGCCACCGCCACCAAAGAGCTGAAGTGCCTCAAGAAGGACAAGGGCAAGAACAAGCTCTCCGACTGGGACGCCAAGCGACGACACTACGTGAGCAAGCTGAAGCAGTGCCAAAAGTTTTGGACCAAATACAAGTGAGTTAACGAGTCGGTAGAGAGCTTTAAAAGACTTTTGACTTTGCCCTTAACAGAAATAGATATATTGAGTAGATTCGTTTAGTAAAACAGACATGTAGAGCCTACATTTGCTTAAGGTTCTTTTTGGGCTGCCCTCTAGAAAGAAAGTTTTCTAATTTTCCTAATGGTTTGCCCGCTAGGATCCTTTCTCCCCAAGGATGAAAATCCTTTATTTTAATGTAAGTCTCGTATGCCTTGTTTTAGCTTCCTAAAATAAACCAAAGCTGAACTAGAACTAGTTTTGGTTTGGCCCCTAGAAAGCATTCTTTCCAAGGAAGAAAATCCTTTATCTCAAGGCCTTTACCAAAATGTTTCCCCTGTAGGAAGAAAGTTTCTTATCTTCAAAGTGCCTAAACTGAACGAAAGTTTTTTTTATGGTTTGAGCTCTAGATTGAATCTTTCCCAAGATGAAAGTTCAATTATTCAATTAGGAGAATCAATGGACTCTCTTCTGCATACATTTCCTCCCTGGAAGAAAAGCTAATGCTATTCATGGCTTATCTAAGCATGCAATATTCTAGGGGCATACATAGACTATCGTGCTATCGTCCCCATTTAATGCCTATTGAAAGCTTCCGTTCACATCTTGGTTTCTATCCGTATCCATAATGCAGACTGGATATATTGCCCCAGCTAACGGACATGCTGCGAGAGATTGAGAAGCTGCAGCAGATACAGACGCAGCGCCTGGCCACGGAGCAGGATCTGCTGAAACTGAACCAGCGCAGCGCCCTGATAGCCGAGATCAATGCCCTGGGCACGGCCATTGAGAGTCACAGCTTCAATTCGGCCTCGCCGCGCTACGCCACCAAGCTGTACCACACGGAGGCGTTGGCTCGCCAGGTCCAGCTGCGTCAGCCCGACTATGAGACGGTGTCGTCGCTGCTGGTGAGCTATGGGCAGTGCCTGGAGCAGCAGCATCTGACCGAGTTCAACATGCGGCTGATTCACTTCAAGCTGGACGGAAGCAACTTGCACAGCGAGTACCTGGCCTTGCTGGAGCTGGTGCAGTGCCATTTGCCACCGCAGACGCTGGAGTCCTACGAGAGCACTCGCACCCAGCTGGACGAGCTGTGCGAGCGGCTGAACGATCTGGGCCTGCAGTGCGTGGAGCACATGCAGCAGTATGCATCCATAATGGCCTACTATCCGGAGCATCTGAAGGGCAACAACATCTTTATGCGCTTCCACGAGAGCTATGCCAACTACTTGGCCAAGGCCGAGAACTGCAGCAGCAGCAGCAGCGACAGCAGCAGCAGCAACAGCAACGACAGCAGCAGCAGCCACAGCAACGACAGCAGCAGCAGCAACGGGAGAAGCCAACAGAGCTCGCCGGAGTTCGACACGGACAGCAAGCTGAACGCAGCCCGAACCTTGGAGGCGGTTCACCTGAGTCTCAGCTGTCAGCTGCTCGAGTTGACGCAGCACTTTGCCCACGAGCAGGCCCTGGCCCAGTCGCAGAGCCCGTCGCACGTCCTGCTGGCGGCTATAAAGCACAGCGGCTACAGCAAAGTGCAGCTCGATGCGGCCCTGCTGCACACCCTGGAGAAGGCCAACAATGCGTTCGCCCACTACGAGCGATCGGCTGTGGAGGAGCATGAAATCAAACTCTTGGAGCATCAGTTGCAGCACATTCAGCTGGTGCAAACAATGTGCCAGAGCGTTACGGAGCCCATGGACCAGGCCAACGATCACCTCAGCCAGCTGCAGGACACGCTGTCCATGCTCATCCAGCTGCAGCACAGCTTCGAGCATGGCCTCACCGCCAGCGTGTTCCGTCTGCTGCTGTTGCCAGCCAAGCAGCACCATTTGGAGGCAATTCTACAGCTGGACAGCAAGGGTCTGGCCGAACGTTACCACCGATCAATGCGAGTGCAGCAACAGGAGTTGGAGCAATCGGAAAAGCAACTGGATCTCGTGGAGGACTCGCCGCAGCAATTCACCATTCCACGAGCTTTGGAAGCTGAGTTCATGCAATGCCTGCAGCTCGGCTACGATCTCTTCCAGCAGCTTAACAAGGCCCTGGAGCGTGTCACGCGCAATATCAAATTGATCATTGACGATGTCAACGATGCTCCGACACGGCAGTACACGGTGAGTGATCCAAGCTAAAGGAAAGGGAATGCAAGTGACCAAAGCACATTAGAGCTAATCAATGAAATATGAATGAAGGCAGGCAGTTTATAGCGGAATGGTAGCTACGTAGTAAGAGTGAGATAATGGAGGCTAAGCAGCAACAACTATAGTACGGGAGAGATAAGGATAGCAGAACGATCGAGAGATCGAGGCAGATATGAAAATGACAAAGACAGAGAGAAGAATGTGTATAAAAATGTTGAATGATTCAGTTTTTATACTTATATACACACATATTAATATAGACAACAAGTAGGGCTAGAGAGTGGTAATGAAATACATAAACAGTTATCTTAAATAACGTTCAAGATTAAGTAGCCATGCATACATATAATAAATGTGAGTGATATTTGTCTTAAAGAAGAGTTAGAGATGATGTCAGAGCAGAGCTATGTACATATATAAAAGAAGCTCTATGATATATGAGATCATTGTAGAAACGTAGAAATGGATCATAATAAGTTTGAGTGAAGAACAACTAGAGATATCAGAGAATATAGTCATTTATAATGAGAACTAAATATGAAATAAATGTTTAGGTTTACTAGAGATCTAGGTGACAGGTAAGTCACAAAGAAGGTAGCGATTCATCAGAGATAACGTATTCGGATTTCGAAGTAGCCACGAGAATGATAAGGTTCCTGCGCTAATTGAGCAATTTTGTTTGCAGGAATTGGACATAATTAAGATCGCTGGCAACACGTTGTCTGAGAAATGCTTCTTCGATCTGGTGCTGCAGACGGTGGACGCCAGCAGGAGCTGGGATCAGCGACTGATGCGTGAGCCCGTGCAGAGCTTTGTACAGCGCCTGGAGATGACGTATATTGTGGGCGTGGTGCCATTGCTCTGCCATTCCCACTACACGAACTGTTGCATACGTGGCCAGGAGGTGGCAGCAGCCATTGCCCTCTGCTCGCCGGATGTGCTGCAGCTGTGCGATGGCTTCTTTGCCGCGCTGCAAGCGGAGGCGACGCTGCAGCAGAGCCAGTGCGAAATCGGGCAGCTCAATCAGCTGATCGAGACACAGACGCTCATCGCAACGGCGCACTACTGGGCATACGGCGAATCGCTGGGCAACGAGCTGAACTGTGGCCACGTCATCAGCCGGCAGAAGCTGTCCGAGGCAATCAGCCAGAACTTGCAGACGCTGTCGGACAAGGCGCTGGCTATGGAGCGGCTGCAGCACCGCCTGACCTCGCAGCTAGATCAGCTGCAGAGCCATCGCAGCAACTGGAATCGCAATCACATCGACAGCCTGCTGCGCAACGAGCAGCTGCAGCACAAGCTGACCAGCAATCAGCTGGACGTGATCAATGAGCTGAAGATATGCGCCAGTGCGCTGTGCAGCATCGAGCAGGCGGGCGGAATTGACGGAGAGCAGGAGAAACTGCTGCTGGACAACATGGAGCAGTGGCTGCAGGCCTACCAGCAGTGGGAGGTGAGTAATGCACGGATTAGCGCCGTGGAGCAGGCGATTGTCCAGCTGCTGGATCCCGAGGGAGCCATCGATGACTGCTGGGTAAAGAACGTGCAGGGTCTGCTCGAGGATTACACGTGCAAGGTGCAGCGCGAACTGTCGATGCTGGAGTCGGAACAGCAGACCAGGCGCAGACTCATCTATGGGGTGCTCAAGGAAGTGCAGGTAAAACGAGTAGCATCACCTCATTATCAACTGAGTGTCTAACACATCGTTCCCTTAGCGAAACCAGGAACAGATGCCGCGCATTTACACGCGCAGCCTGTGCAACGACTCCGAGGAGCAGGCCAAAATGGTGCCCCTGGATATTCAGCTGCTTTGTGGTCATGTGCGCGATGCACAGCGCACACTCGTGGACTTCTTTCAGCGTGTGATGGAGCTCCGCAAGGAAATGGCCAGCGAACGGCCTGCGCTGCACCACGACACGCTCGCCCGCTGGCAGCAGCAGCTACAGCATATCGAGCATATGGCTCAGCACGCCGTGGATGACTTCTTCAGGGGCATCGAGGACTTTCTGCAGCATTCAGCGGACAGTGATTCGTTGCCATACGAAACGTTCACGCACAACAAGGGTAAGGACCATCGAATCATTTTCAATTGTCTCACAATCAAACAATCTTGATGTGATGCCTTCTTTCAGGTGCACCCAATCTGCACGAGCAGAAACGCAATGCGTATGGCGTGTCTGTGTGGAAGAAGATACGCATGAAATTGGAAGGACGCGATCCGGATAGCAATCAGCGTGCCAGCGTCGCTGAGCAGGTCGACTACGTGTTGCGCGAGGCCACCAATCCGGACAATCTGGCCGTACTGTACGAGGGCTGGACGCCATGGGTCTAAGTTGACGGACGTGGCCACAAATTGCCAGCAAATGGCAAATGGGCATCAAAATCGCATTAAACGCATCATGGAACGGGGGTTGGACACAGTGGCAGGAGGATGCTCGGAAGTGGAGTGACTGTCCAAATGTATCTATATCTATATACATGCGTCTATATACGTGATTATACATGGATATCTATATGTACGTGTATATATACATAATATATATGTATATCTACTCAGGCTGGGGTTGCGCTAACAGGCGCATCGATCACCCCGCTCCTTTCCACTTCCACACGACGACCTGCCCCCATCCCGACATCACAAAGTATAGAGGATAATACGACAAAGAAAGAAGGATAGAAAGAGAATATACTACAACAAATGAATAGAACATAGAAGATACCAGGACAACATCGTTTCGGTTGCTTTCGAAGCTCAACAGCTCAATGCTCACACTCGGCCGAGCAACCCACACAGCTGCGCTAGCGTGACCGTACGCCGAAGGACACAACACCTTATGCGGTCGGCAGGAACACGCCCAATGCAAGCAAGCAAATCAACAGGACTTGGAGCAGTTCACGTATCCGTTGCACATTTCAAATTTGAATTCTTTTTAAGCACACTTACAAACACGGCGCATATTACTATTTTCAGCCAATAGAACGAGAATCCAATAGAACGAGAAAGAGAAAAAGAAGAATTGGTGAGAAAGAGAGGGTTTTCCCTCTTGTTATACATTATACATATGTATAAACTTATATATACATATATATATATATATATATATATATATATATATAAGTTATATATATTATTTAAATTTAAGCTTAAAAGTTGTTTTAATTTAAGTTTTTATCCTTTTTATCGAACTACTATCCAACAGCTTACTTGGCATATTTTTAAACCATCAACAGGCGCGAAAATTGCGCTCCAATTAGATGTATTTACTTAAAGCTCTCATTTTGTTTGCTTAATAGTTTTTTTCTTTCCGTGGCGAATCAATGCGATCTTCATTAAAGATTAATACAAAATAACTTCAAATGTATTTTTATTTAATTTTTAACATCGAGGATTTCTCCTTGGACAGCTCGGCAGGCTATCGATAGCACTATCGATACGCCCAAGCAGAGCTTCAGGCGCAGCAGTCTAACGGAAACACGACTCAGCCGCAATGCCAATTGGAATTTGGCGGTGCTAATTGGAACTGCAGCGCAATTCGATTTAATGCATCAATGACGTTATAACAACAGAGAAACAAGTAAAACGCCAACAACTTGAATATATCGTTTGTATTTATATATAATCACTCATTTATTTTCTAAATTTTCCACTTTAGCTCAATTTGCTTAACTCTCTTCCTTATTCTCTCCCACGCTTCGGCTGTCAGTTTACTTGGTAATCGTTCGTTTATCAATTACGTTTATATTTGTTTTCACTTGGATAGGGTGTAAAAAGTTTGAAATGTTCTTAATAGGATCAAGACGTATTTATTACCAGCTAATGCGTTACTTATTTTCTGTTTCATCTTCTCGTTTTGTTTGTTTGTCTGTTTGCATTTATGTTTTCATTGTTTCATCTTTCTATTTATATTTTTGTTTATATTATTCTTTAATCCTTAGGTATTTGTTGCAAATTAACATTAACTTTATTGAACTTCTTGCTTACAACTATTTTTGTTGTTATCTCTTTTGTGTGTGTTGGTGTATGTGTGTGTGTGTGTGTGTGTGTGTATTTTTACAAACAGTACAATTAGAAATCGAAATTCCAGCTATGTTTAAATATTGTTTACACCTCCAACTATTTGTTTATGTTTATTTTATTTTATTTTTTTTTTTCTGTTCGGGAAACTTGTCAGTTAATGTTAATGTTGTTTTTACGGTTACACGCTATAGTTATACAATTAAATGTTTATATATATGTACAGTACATTAATGTATACATATCTATTTATTCATATATTTATATATGTATATATATAAATATTTTATATATATATATATCATTTACAAAAGAACTTAACGAGCTGTCATCGTTCATTTATTTGTTATTACATACAAAAGATTAACAAATTAATATTAAAAAAATACATAAAAAAAAAAAAAAACAAAATTATACAATCATTTTGTTATACACACATATCATATATATATGTTTGCATATCTACTTTTTCGTATGTAATTACGGCACTGCTCGTAAGCTAATTTACGTTACGGATTGTGAATGCGGCTAGATCATTTGTTTATGTATTAGTTTTTATCATTTTCGTTTTGTTATGGATAGATCCGTTTGTCTAGGACAGGAACTCCATTAGCCAATATAGGTTTTTGAAACATAAAATACAGTTAAATTGCCTTTAGCATTCCTTTGACCAGAATTTCCACATGACAGAAGTGTTTTCAATATTAGCAATATTTTCTCATTTTACTTGAAGTTTTTCATAGTTTTGTTTTCAACAATACAAACAGAATAAAAATTTAACAATAAAAATGATGGGGGACAATTATATATACAAATCATATAAATAGCAATAATTGATTTATGACATGGATAAACACAAATCATTTGTCAAATTTGAAATAAAATATTCATGAAAAAAAAAAACAATTCTACAATTACATAGTTGAATAATTTTTTAAAGTAAGGCTTCCCTTTTTTTTTTTTGTTTGTTTTGTTTTTGGTTGCTTTGCTTCAGTTTACTTATTTAAGCATAATTATTTATAGTGTTTGTGTCTTTGTGTGTGTGTGTGTGTTTGTGTCTGTCTGTTTGTGTGCCTGTTTATCGATCTTTATAGTTGTTGTTTTGTGTTTATCCTATTTTAGTTTTAGTTTTAGTTTTGTTTTTCACTTTAAAATAATAAATACATACATACATATACATTACATTACAATTACATCATATCCATAGTACAAAATATAAAATTTAACATCACATTGGTTGACATTCTTTTGTTGGTTGGTTGGTTGCTTCGCTTACACATGCACTTACTCCCATCATCATCCTCCTCATCATCATCATCATCATCATTATCGTCATTATCATCATCATTATTAACTTTACATTATGCTTAACATCGTGTGTTGATTTTGCTTTGATTTACATACATTGTTTAGTTTGTTTTTATGTTTTTACTTTGTGGGTTGGTTGGTTTCGTTTACTTTTGTCCTTTGTTCATTTCTACAATTGATAGCATTTGAAATTAATCTGCGTGTGTATGTGTGTGAGTGTTTGTGGGTTTGCTTAAACTGTCGGTCGGTAGGTCATAACGATCGATTGCTCGATCCGAATTTCGTTTCTCTTAGCCTCTGCTCTTCGCACATCCATTTCCGTTTCGATTTCCATTTGCATTATTTTACATTTTCTGTTAACAATTGATGTTCTCTCTCCATCTCTAGTTCCCTCTTTCTTTCTACAATGTTGGCCTCTGCTTTCTAACCTGCAAATACATATAAAATCGTTCATTACAATGCACAATAGCCACACAAGATACTTATATACATATCCATATATGCATATCATATACATACGAATGCCTGCTGAGAAGTCGTCTAGAATTCAGTTTGATTTATGGCGCACGCTCTACGCACTGCCCACTCACTCAGAAGTTAAACGACTTAACGAGCTTTACAATACAAATACAATGCATTAAGCACAATACACATATCTATATCTATACATACATAGATGTATGTACACATATCAATACATATATCTATACATAAGATACTGATTACACAGACCAAGCACATTTACATATCAAGGTGAATACATTAAATACTTATACAAACGAAAAAGGGTAATTTACATATTCACATTTATTTATATCGCTAGCTAAAAAGTCAAATAAAAAAAAAATAGTATTGCATGGATGATGCATATGATAGCTACTTATCGGTAGCAATTTATATACATTAATAATTTTGCGTAGTCGGCATTACCTAATGAGATTTTTACTAATCTCCGGGATGCTCAGGACAGGAGCGATTCACCTCAAACCAACGATCGATGCAGCTGCAGACGAGACGAAAATATATTAGTATATTGATTTATAGATTTAGTATGTATGCCAAGCGGCCTCTAGTTACCCTTTGTGGTATATGCATAGACATGGCAATCGAGCAATTGTATCACCTGGATTCAAGTCTTCAAGGCAAATGACGCACTCACCCTTGGCGTCTTGCAATGTGTCCTCTGCAAAAGTAAATGAGAATTAACGATAAACAATGCAAGCGACGCCGACATTCCGGCTGCATACCGTTATATGAGAGTCTTGGTTTGGTTAGGCACATGACTAAATGGCATTCAATATCGTCTGGCAACACGAACTTATTGCACACAGGGCATTTGATACCTGTGCGGAAGGAAAGAATTCAACATCGCTGACCAGGAAAACTTTAGATATGTCTATATATATATATAAGTACCATTGAAGGACCAAATGTGCGATGGAAGCGATGTTGCCGTATAAACGCGGCCAATGCCATTCGCTGATGTTGCCGATGCAGCCAATGCGATGCTCTCAACGATGTTTGCGCCAGTCATCGACATATCCTGCAACACAATGGGCAAATAAGAATGGCAGACAGAGGAGAGTCGAGTGCAACTTACGCGTATTGAGTCACCAAACGCGCGTCGCTGTTGCATATAGCTTTGTGCGACAGTCGCGGAACTGTTGTTGTTGCCGGCTGCCGCCTGGAAGCTATTGCTATTTGAATTAGCTGACACAGAGACTGAGACGGCGGGATGTGTGTTCGGGTAAGTGCTGGATCCCTGCTGTAGTTGTTGCTGTTGCTGCTGCTGTTGCTGTTGCTGCTGTTGTTGCTGCTGCTGCTGTTGTTGCTGCTGTTGTATGTCGGGCACTGAGCTGAGGCTGCGTGCACGCTGTCGATCTATGGACGTGGAGTTCGGCTGATTGTGATGATGATGATAGACCTGGAGACCGGGCAATGTGCGCAGCAAATTGAAACCCTGACCGGCATCGCCGCTCCGGCCGCCAACCGCTGAGCTCTGCACCGTTGTCTCGGTGGCAGTGGCACCCGTTGAGCTGCTTGAGAATGTTCTGGAGCGGGGGCTCTGCTGGCCGCTGGTCGCTGGTGTGCTTGCCTTTTGACCCATAGAGTTTGAGTTTCTTTCTATCACGCACGGCCTCTGCCTCTGCCCGCCCCCGGCTGCCGCTGCACCCCTCGATCGCTGATTGGTTGAGCTCACACTCTCTGCCACTCGCGCGTATTATTGCACTTTTCGAATTCGCTCTCAGTTGGAGTCTTGCTCTCGCGGTCGCTCTCGTTTTGATGCAGCTTAATTTATTTATTTTGTTTTTTTTTGTTGCTTCTTTTTTGCGAGCTGTCTTTGTTTGCTCCTTCGTATATTACGCGTATGTGGGTGGGCGCGCGTGTATGTGTAGGTGTTTGCCTGTGTATGTGTATATGTGTGTGTAGGAGAGTTTCTGCGTGCGTTCACATTTAAGGAAACAAAACAAATGACAGCAGCAGCAGACAACAATAGCAAACAAAGTTGATGTTATGGATCAGGGTTTTGGGGGCTGGTGGGTTGTGGGGTGCTGGGTGGTGGGAGGTGCTTGGTGGGTCAGCAGCGGCGGCAGTGACGGGCGGCGTTGATAAATGCGGTATATAGATAAGTGTTTAAGTGTGTTTATGTGCCTTCTGCTGCCTTCGCCTGTGCAATGTTGTTGTTGATGATGATGATGATGATGATGATGATGAATGTGTGTACTGAGAGGTGTATGCGTGTGCGTGCGGGTGCGGGTGCCAAAAGTGCGGAGCGTTGGGAGGGCGTTAATCGCACGTCGGTCGTCGGTGTCAGTGTCGGTGTGATGGTTCTTAGTGTTGGTGTCCGCTGTCGGTGCGTAGTTGATTGCTGCTGTTCTTGATGTTGTTGTGATACCGAAAACCAAAATAGTTGTGGACTCTAACTACGCTTAATCCGCTTGATTACCACTCGCAATTTAAATTACTGTTTCCGTTTTCTCTATATTATTTTTAACATCTCCGTTTTCGTTTTATGTGTACTCTTTGCTTTGCTTTTGACCACCACAATTTATTGGCCAACCACCACAGGGTATTATCGCAGTTCCCGGTGTTGAAAAATGCCACTATACGAATCAAGCCGATAACGATATATCAATTCACTATCGAATGTCAGCGCCAAACCATTAAAATGCAATTGGTATCGATGGTAATGTTGTTTGATGTTTAACAAAAAAATTTTACTTTACGTATTTATTTATGTTTCTGATCTTAGAAATTGAAAATAGTACAAAAAATAAATACGCTTTACTTGCTTGTCGGCTGGTCAGGACATTTAGTGCCAGGTTAACTTAAATCGATAGAAAAATATCGAAATCTCGTTGCGATATCAATAGATGTTGCCAACCAGCTAAGAAACATAAGATTTTTAATAATGTGGTTGTGTTTGTGAAATTGCAGTTGTTGGCAAATTATTTAATTATTTATATGCTGCGGTCACTAAGCCTACCTGAGAAAGCGCATTAGAACAGAAACAACGGCGGCATGAGTTGGTTCGAAAAAGCCAAAACGGTTCTAATCGAAGCACTTGACATACAGGATGATGACAACAAGGCAACAGATAACGCTGGCAGCAGCACAACAGCCAGCAGCAACAGTAGTAGCGCAGGATCATCGATGGCCGGCGCTAAGGGTGCATCCGTAAACGCATTGAACACATCTGCAATAAATGGGGCCACATTCTACGACAATCCGCATGCCAACGAAATGGTTACCATTCCGCCCAGGGCAAGCGATGCCTCAGTGTCAGCACCAGCCAATCTCTATGCAAAACGCCAGTCAGCCACGTCAGATTCGGTAGATCTGCTGTCGTCGCCGTCACCGACGTCGCCAACTGGTGGCGGCGGTTTGCGCAATTCCGAGTCTTCACTGGAGCTAATAACAGCGCCAACAACTGCCAGTGAAGTAGAAATGAATATGTCACCAGATACAGAACCTTCGCTACCGGATAGCATAGTAATAATAGCCAGCAACGAGACATCCGACAATGCGGATGGCGACGTTGATGACGACGATGATGATGATCCTATTGATGAAGAAGATGATGGGCAAGTGATTAACTTGGATCAAGACGATCATTCAATGCATTTGAATGGTGAGTATATCCTAACTCGAGCTGAATTGTATTTCGATTCTCATTTGGACTTCTACAGATTCTACCAAAACGATGAAAGCCTTGGTATTTAGTGACACCCAGACAGCGGTCAATGTATCTGCCGCTGGGGCTGGCGCCGATTCGGACTCGACGCAAAGCTTTGAGGACATCCAATTGCAGTTGAGCCACAAGAGCAAGTCAGCCGGCAGTCCGGTCAGCACGGAGGCCTGCCAGCATGGCAGCAAGACGGAGTTGCCCGATCAGAGCTACTCATCCACCTCATCGGACATTGAGATCATATCGAATCCGAATGGGGATTCCAGTACAAACAGCACGACGACGCGCACCAGTCCACAAAAGTTCAAAGAGCTGTGCAGCGGTGTTAAGGGCCATGGTCATGGCTTGCAGGGCCAGAAGCAAGGCAAGGGTCACCATCGTGAGCCATCGGAGATCTCATTGCTGTCGGAGGACTCGCAGTCGGAGCTGGACAAGCTGGTGCATCGCATAAGTGAACTAAATCAGGTTATCGAGGCGCGCGAGCAGCGTCTGCTGCAATCGGAGCGCCAGAATGCGGAGCTCCTAGAGCGGAATCAACAGCTTTGCGCCCATATGGAGGCGGCCAAGAATAGTGCCAACAGCAGCGAGGCCAACGAGGCGGTGCAACGTCTCTCGGCATTGGAAAAGAAGTTTCAGGCGAGCATACGGGAACGGGATGCGTTGCGCATACAAATCAAGAGCCTAAAGGATGAGCTGCTGAACAAAATACCCAAGGATGAGCTGACCGAAAGCAACGAAATGATCATAGCGCTGCAGTCCGAGGGAGAGAAACTGTCCAAAGAGATTTTGCAGCAGTCGAACATCATCAAGAAACTGCGTGCCAAGGAGAAGACCTCAGACACACTGCTGAAGAAGAATGGCGAGCAAATCTCACAGCTATCCAGCGAGTTGGAACGTCTGAAGAAATCCCTGGCCGCCAAGGAGGAGATGGAGCGCTCGCAAATTGAAGCCGTTTGTCGCATGACCAATGAGAAACGGCGCGTGGATGAGGAGAACGCCGAGTATCGCAGCCGTATCGAGGATCTGCAGTCAAAACTGGCGGCGCTCCAGGCGAGCTTCGATGGCGTCAAGGGTGATCTGCAGCAGCGCCAGCGCCACGAACAGAATCAAATGCAGGCCGAGAATCAAGAGTATGTGCAGCAGCTGAGCGAAATGCGCGAAAAGTTGCGAATCACCGAGCACAACATGGCCAAGCGGGAACAGCAGATGCGTGAGGAGAAGCGCGATTTATTGCGTCGACTGGAGGCGGCCGAATCGCGTGCCGAGAGCAGCACCCAGGAGTTGAGCGTGTCGACGACGCCGCTCATCAGGCAAATCGAATCGCTTCAGAAGACGCTGAATCAGCGCACAGTCGCCTGGAGCAAGGACGAGCAGCAGTTGCTCGAGAAGCTGGAGGAAGCACAGGCGCAGCTGCGTTCGCTGCAGCAGCTCGAAACGGTGCACCAAGAGAAGCAGGAACTGCTGCGCACGCGCTGCGATCTGCTCGAGGAAAAGCTGGCCAATGCTCTAATGCAATCAGAGAGCGCCAAGATTCAGCTGCGTCAACAGGAGTTGGACGCCAGCATCAGAGATAATGACTACAAGAGGTGAGGATAGCATAATCCATTTCCTTATTAAAACTCTATAAATCTGCTGAATATCTTGTTCTGCTCATGTCCAGCCAACTGAGCTCGCTGCAGGAGCAGCTGAAGCAGCGCCAGGACAAGCTCGATTCCTTGGCCGAACAATGCCAGCAACTGGAAGCGGAGCTGCGCAAACTACACGCCTTTCAGCGCAGCAGCGAGCTAACCGTGGAGGCAGTCAAGGCCAGCAACGAGATGTCCGAGAATCCGCCGCTCAGTCTGGCGGATGAAAGCGGCTCCAATGAGGATGCGCTGGGCGGCATTATTGATTGGCAGGGCGTAAGTAAATCAATCGTATGAAAATGAATCTATACATCCATTTGAATGCATTCCCATATTCTCCAACCAGGACGATTTGGAATGCGCATCGAACAGCGGGCGACAGCCCTCGGGCATGATTCAGGGCGTGCACTTGAGCTTCTTAGCTGGTAATACCACAACGCTGGAGCATCTGCAGGCGCTGCTCAAACAGCGCGATGGTGAGGTAACGCACCTTCAGTGGGAACTCTCGCGTCTGCAGGCGGAACGCGGCGTGCTGGACAGCGAAATATCCAAATTAACTATGGAAATGGAGACGGTTAGTGCAGTGACTCCTCTCTCTAACTTATCGTTGACCACATTCTATTCTTTACTTTCAATTCGATGCAGTTGAAGGAGAAAGTGCAATCCTATGAAGCCATGGAGAAGTGCTATGAGGACCTGCAGCATCGTTACGATGCTCTGCTGCAAATGTACGGCGAGAAGGTGGAACGCACTGAGGAGCTCGAGCTGGATCTGGTCGAGCTGAAGCAGGCGTATAAGATCCAAATTGATGAGCTGCTCGCGGCGCCGCCTCCAAATCTTCAGCGCCCAGCCAAGCCCACATGATTGCCGTCCCTGGCATGGTTGCGACGTGCCTAATAACCGGCAATCCAGTCGGATTTATATCTGGATATATTTCTCTATATCGACCTTATGCAAATGCAAAATGCTTCGGGCATACTAAACGAAGCTGCTGTTTTTTTCATTCCTCTATTTTGCTTATGTATATGTGTGTGTCCCCTTTCAAGCAAGCACTCCCGCTCCCTCCCTAGCGTCCAATTATTAATTATCTATGTATAATCGTCATATTAACATACAAGTAAATATAATTTGCATGTTAAAATTTCTAGTTATATTATGAATATGGATCGATTGTGATAATTTTTATTTATACTTATGCGTACATAAATTAAAAAGTAATTCGTACATCATTAATTGTTTCGCTCTCTTTCTTGAGTTCAAGATCTGATCTTTGGGCTGCATAAAAATTATTTTCTAGGAAACGTCTTTTATCACATGAGCGCGTATTACACCGTGCTTAACGAACTTATGGCTTACATGTAATTAAAGCTTAAATATTTATATTTAGGTATCTCTGTTCACAGAAAATCAAGGTAACTAGGGATACATATAACACATTGTAATACGTGAAAGTACAAAATCTTACTAAGAACAAGAATTAGCTAAGTTAGCTTCGCAATTTATGGCGCTCTTAGAATAGCATTTGCAACTTGAGCTAGTGGAAATACAGGCTTAGCGGGCTTATCGCCAGAGCTGTCCATGTAGCCGCAGCTGTTCCTCAGATCATCCGTGTTGAGGGAGAAGATCATTAGGCCGCCCACATTCATGGACTTGACATAGTTGGCTTTGCACGAAATGCTCGTCTTGCTCTCATATGAGATCCATTCCTGCTCAGCGCTGATATAGGGCGAACAGGTGTCGTTGTCGTATGTGTAGATCGGTGTATAGATAAATTGATTGGCGCACTCGCAGGTCTCTGAGAGCGTAGTGAAGCCCAGTTGTCCACACTTGCCAAAGCCCGAGGCAGGCGCACCTAACCGACTGTTGAAGGGATTCACAAGGCTGTAAATAAATGGGAATGAGTACATTGTATTTTTATCCAAAGCCCATGTTACTCACGTAAAGGAATGCCCATAGGTTGGCAAGCCGATAACCAAACGTTGTGGCTCCAAGCCATTTTTCAGCCACCAGTGAACGGTATAGTTGATGTTAAAGGTGGCCATTATGGAGTGCTCCGTGGAGCGGGCATAGAGCGGCGCATTCAATCCAGTAAATGGTGTATCCTCGCGATAGAAATGAAAGTCGTAGGACATTAGATTCACATAGTCTACGTAGAGGTTGATTTCGCGTATGTCGTAGCCAAAGAAGGCGATGCCCTCGGGTGCAGCGACTGCCAAGGTTAGCAGATTGTTAGTGAGCTTCTCGCGACGCCACTCAAGGCGAATTTCGTACAGCAGCTGGGATAAGTGCATCCGTTCATTGTCGTAGGCTCGTGGAAACTCCCAGTCCAAATCGATGCCATCCAAGTTGGGATATTTGTGGAGCACGGCACGCAGTGAGCGCAAGAATTCTTTGCGTCGAGCATGATTCGCTACCATGTCGGCAAACTGGTGGCCACTGTCCGCACCGCCAATCCACAGCAGCAGTTTCACCTGTGGATGGGCGGCACGATAAATACGTGTCTCATTCTGCAGGACATGCTCGAGGCGCGCTGACAGCTGCAAAGTCGTGTTGAACAAATCGGCAATGCCAATGTTAATGTGCGTGCACAAATCACCGGGCACATCCAGCAGGCTCAGATTATCGGGTCCCGAAGCTGAGTAATAGCATACTAGGCGTTGGTTGCGCTCCACTTGCAGGCGATTCAGTACCTTGAAGTGCACCGTTAGTAAACAAAAAAGCGCCAGACACGTAAACAACAGTATGTAGCGTATCTGAAGGTCATGCTTTTGCAGTCTTGATGGCACTGTATTTCCATTATCACTTTGTATCTTGATATAATTAACCATTGCTGTTGTTGCTGGCAAAATGTGATAATGAGCAACGTTGCGTTGTTATTTGTGTTGCTTCAAAAGCCAGTGTAATCAAAACAAAAATAAGCAACCAGAAACATCGATAGCATGCGAATTCCATCGATAGCCCAAGATTGGCGATAGGTGATATGCGGTTGCAACCCTGTTCGCATGTGCATATGCGTATTTGGGTAAAAAAGTTTCTGTCGTTTGTGCTGCAATTTCTACCTTCACCGTGCTTTTCGTTTAATTTTTTTGCAAACTTCAAGAACAAAAAAATGCAATTGTTGAGCGTAAACATTAAATAGCTGCTGCGGCCGTACACTACTCTATAAAAATATTGCCGTCTGTGAGTGTCAGTCTTACTGTTTGTATAATTTGCTCATTGTTTTTCCGTGTGTGACACAGAGTGAGTGTGAGTGTGTGTGTGTTGATGTTGCTGCTGTTGTTTTCGCCGTCATTGTTGTTGTTGTCGCCTCGCTTGCGGTGCAAAACAAAACACACCCAAATGAGTGGCACCAGCCGAAAGACGAATCAAACACAATCATGCTTACCATAGGGTGGTGCAAACCGGCAAAAGGCAGAAATGGCCATAGGATTCTGTAATAAATTTATATATGTATATATATTTATATGAATGTGTGTGTACATGCTTTCGTTTTTGGCATATTCACGCCCATTTGCATATGCACATCTGTGCCTGTTTGTATCTATTTGTATCTGTGTGCCTCTGCTGAATGACTCACTAGATAAATGTTACTCTGCCCACATACCAAAAAAATAAATAATAATAAAAATAATAATAATAAAATTGCCGGTTCGACTTTGGCACCTTGCAATTTCTGTTCTACTTGTTGTTGCGTTGTTTGTGTGCGCGCTTATCTGGCGCAGCTTACGGCCCGCCATCCCTCCCTTCTATCGCCCCTCATCCATACCGGTTAGCCCGGGCCCCAAGCTTTGCAAGAACTTGGGCTCGCATTCTTTGGCTTGTTAAAAATGGTAACTAACCTGCTTTTTAAAATTGTTGTTTCGTTATTGTTGCAGGTTGAGCAACACGGTTAGCTATATGAGAACCATGACAAAAGACTACGATTATCTGTTAAAGGTGCTTCTGGTTGGCGACAGCGATGTGGGTAAACACGAAATACTGTCCAATCTGGAGGATCCGTCAACCGAAAGCCCCTTCTGCAGTGGGAATGGTAAGTGGGCCGACGATCATAGTTATATTTATGGCTTTGGCATACACCCAACTCATATATAGATTGCACCTCTCACATATTGCAAACGGTAGCATACAAAACGACAACCATCTTGCTGGAAGGCAAACGGGTTAAGCTACAGATCTGGGATACATCCGGTCAGGGTCGTTTCTGTACCATAATACGCTCCTATTCGCGCGGCGCTCAAGGTATTATCTTAGTGTATGATATAACAAACAAATGGAGCTTCGATGGCATCGATCGCTGGCTCAAGGAGGTCGAGGAGGTAAGTGCTCAAATCTAAACGCCCTAATCAATATATAACATGCGAATATATCTATTACAGCATGCGCCTGGCATACCCAAGGTGCTTGTGGGCAATCGCTTACATTTGGCCTACAAGCGTAAGGTGGCCGCCAAGACGGCGGAAACCTATGCCTCACGCAACAATATGTCCTGCTTTGAAATCTCGCCACTTTGCGACTTCAATATACGCGAATCGTTCTGCGAGCTGGCTCGGATGGCGCTGCATCGCAATGGCATGGAGCACATCTGGCGCAGCAATAAGGGTACGGCACACTGGCTATATTTGTAGCTTATATTATGTTAATACTTGTATTTGTTTAATTGCAGTGTTGTCGCTGCAGGAGCTCTGCTGCCGGACAATTGTGCGTCGCACTAGTGTTTATGCCATCGATTCGTTGCACCTGCCGCCCTCCGTTAAATCGACACTGAAGTCGTATGCCATGACAACGTCACAGTGCTACAATTCGTTAACGCAAAACTCGAAAAGTCGGAATCGCTGCAAGACGCCAACCAGCCACAGTCGCAACAGCTGTGCGATCGCGTGATTGCCGGCCTGTAGGTGGTTTCTCGTCTCTTCTGCAACTGCCTACGCAACTACGGCTGCGCAATTGCGCCTAAATCTACAATCTACTTATATTTATACTATCTAAGCTTCAACACACACACACACATTACACATACACATATACACATACAACCCACATAACATGCGCGAGTATTTTCTTTAATACAAATATGTCATCAGCATTAATATTTATTATCGTATGAAAAAGAGCGAGAGAGCGATGTTTATATTTTTACATCCTATACATACTACTTATTATTATATATATATATAAATATATGTGCATCTACTAAGCGATATGCATATGAACATATAAATATATATATATTTTTTTATTCTTTATAATGTTTACCATTATCACTAAATTTAATAACGCATAACTGTAATGTTGTTAATATTATTATTATATTTGTATAACTCTAATGTCTAATACGCTGGATATAGTATACTGATACGAGGTATTCCTTCTTTAATTTTTTTTTTTAATATTCATATATATATATATATATTTATACATATATATGATACTTTAATTTTTCATTTTTGTTAACAATCAATGAATATTTGTAGAACTTTTTTTTTTTTGTAATTAAAAGAAGGCGTTGGAACAAGATGATAATGATGATGATGATAAGATGATGTTTATAATAATGATGAAGCTGATCACCATTATCACGATGATGATGATGATGATGATGATGATAAACATGAAAAACAACTACAACTAAAACCACATGCGATATCTTTGTCTTTGTCTATGTAGCAATCCATCTCATTCTATTTCAGTGCAGCAAAGTGAAAGTTCGGCTTATGTGATACGTAACATAAATACACTGGAATATTTTGTATTATGATATATGGCATATTTGTATGTTTTACACTATTTGGTCATATATACAAGTTGCAAACTCGTAGACCTTTTGGGCCATATTCTATATAGTCGGGCAGAGATTAGAAAAGGTTCGAGAACGTTTAGCTGAAACAAGTTCAATCTGATAAGGATGATTGATTGATGATCTTGCATGATATTATTCAAAACATATCTTCCGCGACTTTGGTATAGATAAAAAACCAATAGGTATAGAATAACTATATTTATATAATAGCACTGCCAGCTGCTAGCCTTGGCACATTGGAAAGATTTTGTGTAAAAAGTTTGGAAATTTTTTGGAATTATACAAACTTGATAGATATATGTATATATAACTATATATATGCATAGATATGTACATATATGTCTTATCGAAACTATTTTCTTATTGAAAAGTATCAACGATTTTTCTACTTCTATCTCTCCTTGTAGATATCTTTTGATCGGAGCGGGTAGCTTTTGGGCTATGGCCTCATAAATGGGCTTTACGTAAAGCTGACCTCTTCAGTTTAGTTTCTTTTTAAATGCCATTTCTTAGCCGTCAACACGGCAGCCAATTGATCTGTCAACCATATTAAAATTCGCTTTTTATTATAGATCTTCGTGTAGCTAGTTCACACCTTTGCTGATTGATTAGTCCATTGAAAGCCCAATTTAACATTGTTTTCTCATTCACATGTGTGTTTTCCCCCCAATATTTTTTTTTTCACTTTTTCTTTTCATTACGGCAAAAGACCTGAAAAAAATATCAGCCCGCGGTTTCATTTTTAATGGCTATTCAAAAATTCGCAAAAGCTTTTACACAATCACAAACGAAACCCAAGTTGGCCAATTCAAATCTGACAACTGATTTCCATTTCATACCAAAACCAGCAAAAAAATAAAAAAAAAACAAGCATAACAAAACTTGGTTTATGGGTGTTATAGTTTAAACGTATCAGGGAGAGCTTAAAAAATAAAATATAATATAATATATACTACCATAGCTTAGAAATAAAAGCAAAAAATTAATAAAAAAGCAATAAATAGCAGCCAAAAATTTACATATGCTGACTTGATTGCATTTTTTATTGTGTGGGTCTTGGCTTTATTTTTTTTTTTTTTAATTTTTTTTTATCATTTCACTCTTTTAAGGTATTTTACACCAAAGTATTTTGTGATGCGCTCTCTTTGGGCGGAGCTGAAGAACAGCTGAGAGTAAGCTAGAATAATAATAGCAACTGAAAGCTAAAAAGTTAGTTAGTGATAGTAGCTTGAGAATTTCATATATGTATATATATACATACATATGTATATGAAATTCTCATAAATATTACTAACTATTTATTCTAGCTTACTCTCAGCTGTATTGAACTGCATTTATATATACATATATATTTATATATATGTACATACATATATATAAATGCAGTTCAATACAGATTTAACAAGCCAAGAAGCTTCAAGTTAAGCTGTAGATTTTGCCTATATACATATATTGGGAATCATATTTTTTAGCGTATGAAATCGAACTTAATGTAGGAAAGGCTTAAGAGCTTGGCGTAAAACTGAAAGTTTTTACAACAAAAGCCTGACATTTTAGAGAGTATTCATTCTAAGAATTACTTCAGAAATTTTGAGCAAGAGTATAGCTTTGAATAATTTGCGAACTTTGAAGAACGTTTTAGAAGCTTTGCATAAATAAACCAAACTTTTTTTTAATATATGTCGATATATACGTAAAAGTATAAGTTCAATCTATATATAATATGTATACAAAGATCAGATGGAATTAAAGAGCTTGAGAGCTTTAGGTCTCATCTAGTTTCTAAGATGTTTTTTACTCTAAAACTATACGAAACTACTCCACTTTACTAGTCTGAGTTTCTTAGCTAATCTATATAGATTTTATTTAAATAATATAAAAGTTTAGCTTTAAGAAGCTTTGGCGATTTCAAGTTGGGTCAAATGCTCCTAAGTAAACACGGTTTCAAAGCACTTTTTGAGGAGTAGAAGAGTTTTCACCTTTTTCACCTAGCTCAGCTCAGAACTACTTCTTTATAAGCCTAAAAACAATTTTAAGCGGCTTTTAAGCTTAGTGATTTCTTATAGTAAAATAAGCTTTTGGTATACAACTGGATCGAAAGTGTTCTTGGCTAGAGAGATGGGCTATTCAGCAGAGAAGGTGTTTACTGTTAATATACTAGAACTTTAATGAGCTCGGCAGTTTTTTAGCAGTAGTTGAGAGCTATAGCTCAGCTGCTTAACATAAATGTATTTAAGAGAACTTGCGTAATGCGAGATGGGCTTAGGGCTCGACCCAGACCCTGAGCACATAGAGCTGAGCGAACTGTAATGGGGCTATGGAAAGTGATGGATCTGAGGCAAATGCTGTCGAGGTCAGGCAATGACATGACCTACCTTTGATAATCGCACCGGTTTGTTTGCGCCTGATACGATTTGGTTATTTGGCTTAAATGTGTGTGTGTGTGTGTGTTTTTTTTTTCATGCTGGTCAACGGGTTTTTTGTTCGTCTCATTTGAATATTTTAGCAATTTAGTGCTCCATTTGCCCCGTTCACAGTTCGGCTCGCCGCTGCCCTACCATTAAATCCGATTCGGGGGCCCGCGCCATCGATGACGAAAGCAAACAGCGGAATCTTCGCTGCCCGCCTCAGGCGAAAGCCGCGGCAACGGCTCATTGGGCAAGGCACCGGATAACGACAAATTTGACGCCAGTGACGCTGACGCCAACGACACGACTATATTGTAGATGAAGAAGAGGAAGAGGAAGAGGAAGACGTATCAGCATAATGATTGCGATCGGCGTATATAAGCGTGCGACAGCTGGAAGATGGTCATCAGTTGCCTGCCTCTTCGGTTGCATTCTTCAGCTACGTGAAGTTCCACAGATTTCGTCCCAAGCAAGAAACTTCCAGCAATGAAGGTAAGCCGGCGTAGCTCCAGGCAGGATTGGGCTGTCATCTCTAATGCTCGCTCCTCTTTCGCAGATCTTTGTGTGTTTGTTTGCCGCTCTTGTTGCCACCTGCTCCGCAGGCATCATTGGCGGAGGTGGCGGCGGTGGCGGCGGTGGCGGTTACAGTTATGGCATCGGCAGCAGCGGCGGTGGCCATGGACACGCCGAGGTGAGCACTGTCAAGGTCATCCATGAAGGCAGCCACGGCGGTCATGGTGGCTTTGTGCACGGCGGACACGGCGGACACGGCGGCCACCATCAGGAGGTGAAGACCATCAAGGTGATCCACCAGGAAGCACCAGTTGTGCATCATGGCCACCAGGAGGTGAAGACCATCAAGGTCATCCACCAGGAGGCACCAGCTATCCACCACGGCTTCTCTCATGGCGGCGGCTTCGGTGGTCACCAGGAGGTCAAGACTGTGAAGGTCATTCACCAGGATGGCGGCTTGGCTCTGGGCGGCGGTGGCTACGCTGGCGGCTTCTCCCATGGCGGCGGACATGGCCACCAGGAGGTGAAGACCGTTAAGGTCATCCATGAGGAGGCACCGGCTGTGCATCATGGCTTCTCTCACGGCGGCGGCGGCTTCGGCGGCCACCAGGAGGTCAAGACTGTGAAGGTCATTCACCAGGGCGGCAGCGGCTACGCTGGCGGCTTCTCCCATGGCAGCGGACATGGCCACCAGGAGGTGAAGACCGTCAAGGTAATCCACGAGGAGGCACCAGCTATTCACCACGGCTTCTCTCATGGCGGCGGCTTCGGTGGCCACCAGGAGGTCAAGACTGTGAAGGTCATCCATCAGGGCAGCGGCTATGCTGGCGGCTTCTCCCATGGCAGCAGTCACGACATCGGCCACGTCCACCAGGAGGTGAAGACCGTCAAGGTCATTCACGAAGAGGCCGCCCCAGCGCCCATTGCCGTCCACAACGAGTATCTGCCCCCAGTTGTCTCGGCTCCTCAGCCCGGCTACCTGCCCCCAGTTGGCGCCTGGAAATAATCTCCTCAACTGTGCCCAGTTGATCTGTGATTCGAACTGTGTCATAGCTGTGACCTCCTTTGTTAAATAGTTTTAGTAACATCCCCATTTTTTTTCCATTAGCTTAAGAAACATTTTTTTTTCTGTTGAAAAATATATACACATTAAAATTTATATAAACAAAATGCCTTACATCTTTACATCATATTTTTCTTGAAAATGTGCTGTAGCTCTTTAGATGGGAGCTTACGAATAGCAAGTTTTGAGCTTTCCAGGGGAAATATCAAGCTATATTCAAGAATTTCAAAATATTTTCGCTTATTCTAATTGAAAGTGAGTTAGCTTATAAAAAACCTTTATTTTATCAACTAAAAGTCTCTTAAAATATCTGTAAAAAACCTCATGTATATTTTCCATATATTCATATATTCAAAACAAAATTTTCCTTACAAAATTAGAAATATAAAGTTTATTAACTGATGGAATTTAGATCAAGCTTAGTGTATCAGAAATATGTCTGTAGACTTCGTTCTATAGTTCTCTATTTCAAACTTTTATAACTTTTTCGCAATGGAAATTTTTCATTAGATTTTATTTGATGAAAGTCTCAGCAATCATATCACTATAATATGATATGGTCTGAGATTAAGATACATAACATGAGATGATAGTTCCGATATGTAGATTCTTTAAATAAAAACATAAATCTAGAATGCGGTTATCAAGTATAATAAATTATAGATAATATTCATATATGTATATCATATATCATGAATGTTAAACTTAGGGTATCTACTAGTCTAGCTACAATATCTCTCTCTCTCTCTCCCTCCCTCTTTCATATTTCTTAGTTCCCCACAGATTTTCTTAGTTTTATATTCATTTTATTCAATCTTCACACATTTTACCGCTTGCCATCAATTTGGGGGATTGGGTTACAAAATACTCAGGCATGGCATAGATCATCTAACTGTAGTTAATTAATGGGCATGCATCACATTTAGATTTCACATTCAATATGAATTATTGTAATTCCCAGATCTGCTTTAAGTAGCCATTTGCATACGGAGTGCAACTGGTTTTGAGTCCACCCACTTTCGTTTAGGCCTCGTTTCGTCAGTCCATTACCATAAGCGCTACGAGCTAAACGAGCTGATTAATAGGCCCATAAGTTGTAGATTTTTCTTCTTGTTTTTATATATGTATATCATTTTGTTTATCTTTAGTATAAGGTATTAACTTAATGTGTGTGTGCTGGTGAATGTGTGCTTGACAAATGTGTGTGTGTGTGTGTATGTGTGTATTGAAAATAAATTAGAGATTTTTTAGAAAAGATCGGGCTCGCTTGTCAGTGGTAGATCCAATTTGGACGAGCTCCAAACATGCGTCGCTGTTGCGTCATGGGAGCCTGCTCCACGCTATTCCCGCTGCTTAGATACTGATGCAGCGGCAGTGGGCGTGGCGAAGATGATGTTATTAGTGGAATGCTTGTTGTGGGACGCCACCTCGATGGTCGCCAGGGCGCGCTCTTGTCCTCATCTAAGTTGCTGTTGCTCTTGCTGTGGCTGTGACTGTGACTGTTGCTGTTGCTGTCACTGTGCACGCGCAGATTGAGCAGCAGCTCGCCATCGTCGTCTATCAGATTGTACAGCTGGATGCCTGCATCCGCGTCGGCTCCTCCACGCATGTGGGCGCGCTCCAGGCGCACCTGTTGCTTGACCTTTGGCTTCGTTTTCCTGCGCACCGGCTTGGCGTAGCGAACGGGCGGCAGCACACGCGAGATACGCTCCTGTGCTTGCAGCTGGCGCAGGATGCCCAACGGCAGCACCAGGTCCGATTCGAATGGCAAGAAGCCACTCGCACGCACCTTGATTATATTGCGACGCACGGGGGGCAACGGTATCGGCAGCACCAATTCCCAACGGCAAATCAGCACCAACACTAATAACAAAAACAACAACTGCAATCGCAGCGCAGCTGCCAGTGGTGGCAGTATCAGATTCATCGCTAAGCAGCGGCGGGCTTGCACATGTTCACTAATTGCAGTCCTTTACAACACTTGTGTTCGTCTCAATCTTTGCAGTTTATTGACTGCCAACTGCAGTGCACATTAGGCAAACAAACAAACAGAAAAAAAAAACGTAACAAAATAATGATGAGAGCTAATGACGGAGCTAATATGGAGTCAAGCAGCTCATTCTAGGCCGGCATTGCACCAACTGATTTTGACCGAGCCACGCACTGCGCCGCAGACCGCCAGAGAGCAGGGCTTACTCTCACACATGCATACACTCGACTCACATACACAGACGCACACAAAGAAATGAATTAATTAGAGAAAATTCCGACGCATGCTTTATGAAATGAACCACCGCACAGTGGTTCACCTCTTTGAAATTACATATTTTCCAGCTGAAATTTATGTTAATTTGATTTTCGTTATTTAATTTTACATTCTCTTTACATCTTATTTGGTTTTAATATGTACAATTGGCAATTATCGGCAAATCAAGTGCCAACGCAGATCGATAAATTCTAACGACTATCGATTGATTATCAAAATGCAATGGCGATATTTAAATACTGCGAGGCGCCATGCAGCGAAATTTAGCCGAATTCTTATATTGTAAATGTTGCATGGAAAAGAAAATACAAGTAAATATAGTAAATGCGATTTGAAAAACTCTATATTGAAAGACACAAATATTTGCTAGCTCTTGAACCACTGTGCATTAAATACTTTAGGCTTTGAAATGAAAATAAAAATATAACAGCTAACCTGACTGTGTTTATTGTTGTTGCTGTTGGTTGTTGTTTGTTGTTAACATTTCACTTCTTCTATCATTTTTATGGCCTACACACAAATTGTCGCATGTGCCTGTGTGTGCGTGTGTGTGTGCGTGCGTGTGTGTGCGGTTTTAGTTGTTTAATAAATGATTTATGCTACAGTTAACAAGAATAATTCTTTTAATGTTCAACTGGCGCTGCTTTTGTCTTTGCCCAGAAGCCGGCCATCAAAACTGGCTCACAACCTGGTTGGGGTCATAAATGGCGCTGCTACTGTCCAAGCCAAGGGCTCTCGCTCCCTCCTCAGTGGGGCACACTCTCGCTTAAATTGTTCTTCTTGTTTGCCGTTTGCTGTTTTGTATGTCACCTGGTGCTGGTGCTGGTGCTGGTGCTGGTGCTGGTGTTGGGGCCCAGCTCATTTGCATGAAAATGCTGCTTGGGGCGAACAATGGCTTATGCAAATCGTCAGATGGAAAAGCGCCCACCGATCACTGGAGCACAGCTGACAATGAATGAATAGCTATGGCTGGCCAGTGGCTATATCTGTTCTACTATTTACACTGGCATCGGTTCGCAATACGGTACAGTGAGCTCGGGTAGGGGCGAGCACTCTCGCTGGCCTATTATCATTTGCATTATCATTTCTAACGGCCAAGTCATTCAGTAAATTCTTAAATGATATGCATGTAAACAGAAATGAACGTAAATGTCTCTTTGACTGCATACAGAATGCACACAGGAAAACCAGTTTAGGTCAACTCAAAGACCTTAACGGCTTTGAGATATGCATCTTCCAATTATGGCCGACTAACTGAGAATATCTCAGCTGCAATCCGTAAGAGTCTGTTATGTTTATTATGTTGTGAATATATGGTCATAAGAGTATAGTTCTTACGATTCTATACCCCAGCTCTTCATTTCAAATACGTTGCTTTAAGCGCTAAGAAATATTTCTGAAGATATGTCCGGTTTGAAAATAATAGATTTCCCGTTGTATCTGCATTATTTACATGTTTTTCTCAATTTTTATTTTAGCATAACGAGTACATACTTAGACTTTGGTATAGAGCTAATCAAAAAAAAAAAAAAAAGTAGCTTGATTATAATATGTGATTCATATATATATCCATATATATGTCGATATATAGTTATATACAAATATATATATATGTATATGGTATATAAACTTAAGTTCTTATATGTATGTTTATTTATGGCTAAGTGACTATCATTATAAACGTATTCGTAACTTTGTAACTGCAATAGCCAAAATCAACTCCGATTTCCACATACTACACATATACATAGACATCGATCTGAGACGATACTTGGCTCAGCTTTACTTAGCTAGGAATCTGCACATTGATACATTTAAGTAAACCTATTTATGCGCATTTCTATATATCTATAAAAAAAAACTTACACAAAAAGATATTGATTGAATCATATAATAGATATATATACATACATATACAAATACTGTTGCTCTATGAAGTAATTATTGGGTGTTGGCTTTGGAGGTTAGGTTCATGAATATAAATTGCTAATTTTAGAGATAAATACGCTAAATATATATGGTCTATGGCCAGCACATTGACGACTAATATATACTTAGACATCCTAGTCCAATGTGATGTGCGGATTTGTGTAGGTGAAGCCATGAAATTGTTTCTGATCCATTGATGCGAGTATTTCCTTGTCGATGGGCGTTAGACGAACGCGTTCTCTGGTGAATACCCGATCGAAATATTGCGTATCCAGCGGATGTTTCTGTCAAAGAAGAACCGGAAAGAAATATTGATGTATGCATATCGGGAAATCAATGGGTATACGTACCACTTGTGGCTTGAAAGGAGGCTCGATCTGCCTCTTTTCGAGCTGGTTCCAGTCAATGGGCCTAAAGAATATATGATCTGCTATATCACCAGCTGGACTATACTGTGACCCGATACGTTTCGTATAGTCCTTCTCCAGCAGCTATAGAGATTTGGATTGATTCGCTCAAATGTATTTCATATAAGTGTATTGATATTGATTGACTTACGCCCTTGAGTATGCCCGTTGCCTCGGCTGATATGTAGACCGGAAACCATGGAATTTCATTGCATATGGACCAGAACAATTCGTCCTCATCGCAGCCACTGAATGGCGATTGGCCAATGAGCATTTCGTAGAGCAGCACACCGAATGACCACCAATCGACATTTTGATTGTATTTTTCGCCCTAGCAGCATAGAAGAGTTATCGTTATCGTAATCGTTATCGTTACCATGCATGGGCGCTTTACTGATCGATAACTCACCTTGATGATTTCGGGCGCCATGTAATCGGGTGTGCCACAAAAACTATCGGCCGTCTTATCTAAATATATCTGCAATTTACACATACCAAAATCTGCAATACGCACGTGACCCTCATAGTCGAGCAATACGTTATCCAACTTGAGATCCCTGCGAAAAAGAGAGTTTCAGTTCATATGCATATACCTATAGATAGTTGGCACTGCTCACCTGTATATGATGCCCTTCTTATGCAAGAACTTGAGCCCGGATATGATTTCTGCGCCATAGAAACGCGCACGATCCTCTGAAAAGCGTCCGCTCTCCTGTATATGAAACATGAGATCCCCGCCGTTCAGATACTCCATGACAAAGAACAAGTGACTCTGCGAAATAAATATATGTATAAATATAATCAGTATTACAATAGATATATAGATATATATAGAGCGTAGCAGCAATATGGTTAAGCACCTTATGAAAACTTGATTTATTCTTATATGATTTATCTCTAAGATGTTGCGTCTCATCTAATGCATAGAAGAATTTCATACAACTTATTTTATAATTAATTTTCTCTATTTTCTATTTTAGAAAATTTGCTCAAATTTCCAAATTTCTGCGTCTCATTCCACCTTGATGCATTGGCATATTTTTCGTTGACTGGCACTAGCTAAAGGTGTGCACAACGCGTATCGCTAGGCTCCCAAAATAAATGGGCGTGTATCCTCAAAGTCATAAATAATTAAAATACCTTCTAATCGGTGTCAATGCAAACAAAGCAAACTTATTGTTTGCTCTTACTGAATCGATTGTTTTTCTTTGTATTGTATATAGTACATACGCATAAGTATATGCTTTTTATGCCCGCTCACAAATAGTGACTGAGTATATTAGTTGGAGCGAAACTTGCTATATTATAGAGATTATATTATACATTATATATAGATATAGGCAAAGTATAGATATAATGATGCAGCCATAACCTAGAGGACCTAGAGGCAGCTAAGGATAACAGAAGAGATCGGCCCTCCTCAGACTATATCTCTTGGTAATCCCTAGACCGTGAGCGGGTATTGCACCGTCGATTGGATGCCACTAGAAAGATTTTGAATGCTTCGTGGTCAAAATGTTAAGAGAACATTGTCGAACGCTGTGCCGGACGTGCGTGCCAAATTACGTGCTGCTCGGATCGGTCGACTATATGCCATGTCGTGTGCCCCAATCGATGGTCAAAATAGAAACAAAGCACACACACACACACACGCGCGCACATAGATAGTTAGCGAGAGAGAGAAAGGGAGAGAGAGCGAGAGAGATCGAGCGTGCTCTAATAATAGTACGTTTTACCTTTAGGCTGTTTATTTTCGTATCTTTCGGATACGTATGGCGGGTATTACCTACACGAGTCGAGAAAGCCCCATATGTATATGGCCAACCTATCGACCTTGCTGGCGACCTTGTCTTGCAAGGGCGGAACTCACCTCGGTCTGAAATGTGCAGAATAGATGGCACAGATACGGATGCTTGGTGCCCAGGGCCAAAACCTTGCGTTCGATTAGCGTGGAGTCAACATCGTCGTCCTCAAGGACCACGTCCTTCTTAAGGCACTTGATGGCATAGTAATATGTCGTATCACGCAGCTCAGCCAACAGCACCTGCAGAGAGGGAGACAAATAGACAGACAGGGAGAGAGAGGGAGAGAGTGGAAGAGGGTAAGTCCCATGTTGATCTGAAATTCTTTCGTTTGATTACTCACCTTGCCAAAGCTGCCTTTGCCCAGCACGGCCAGAAAATGAAAATCATCTACCGAATAGTTCTTAAATCTAGGTATTACTGTTGCTGGCGCAGTGAAACGTCCGGATTTTTGGAATTGTGAATATGTATATGATGTTTCTGTACGACATCCCAGAAGTATCCGATAGCGATAGACAGATCGATAGATAGATTTACACATGTGTAGACACATATGTATACATGTATATAGAGAGTGAGTTATAAAGTTGTAATACAATATAAAGTGGAAAGAGAGAGTTGGTTATATAGTATATAGGGTAAGTATAAAAGTTGGGATAGTCGCGTCCACAGTTGAGTCCGTTCGGTGTCCGACAGTTGGTCACTTGAGCAGCGCGTATGTACGTGCATATGTAGGTTAGGGCGTGGCGTGTTAAGTGCCATTGGTTTAGTGTTAGACATAGTGAGTAGATTGGATTTGGCCTACCATCGTGCTCATCGCTGGGGTCTATCTTATAGGCAGGATTACTGCTGGGCGGAGTGCTCGGCGAGTCTCGTGTCTCACGTGCGCCTAGTTCATGTGGGGAGGAGATCAAAGTTGGACGCGTTAAAAATATCGTTACGCATACGATATCACTCGATTCACTAAGTGTATAAGTGTCTGTGTGTGTGTATATGTATCTATGTAGATATATATCTATGTAGATATATATCTATGTATCTATGTATCTACATATATATCTATGTATATATGTATCTATGTATCTATGTATCTATGTATCTATGTATCTAT